AACATATTTTGGTTTCAATGAATTTCTAGTATTTTCCAAATAGCTCCAGTTGCTTTGTTTTTTTTTTTATGTAGAAAAACTGTGTGCTTCTTGGTGAAGGGTACAGTAGGTTGTATAGTAACGGAAGAAATATGAATCACTTTCCATTTGCCTCTCTGCAGCACTCCATTCTCCCATGTGACACTGTGAATAAGGCAAAAAAATTAAGTCTATTTAAGCTCCATTCAAAACCTGACTCCTTCATATAATATAGCTCATTTAAATTCTGTCCTTCATGTTTCCTGGCTTTCTTGCTTCATGTTTATTGAAGTGTGTATGTGAATTTCTAATAACCCATGTTTAGATGGATGTTTGATGCCCAAATTATCCAGAAATGGTGCTTTTTGCAACAAAAGAGTTCCTTTGCTTGTCCACTTAAAAAATCAATTTGTGAAGCTTTCTGGCGTTTTCTCCATTATTTTCCAACCAGAAAAAAAAAATAAAATTGTTAGTTTTTTCTGTTAGTTAAGTCAGATATTCAGTTCTTTGAAAATCAAACCTTGACATTTGTAGAGAAATTAACATGCAAAACCAAACTATTCAGATGTTTTGACTTTCACAGCATTTCTCCTACTACCTCGGCTTTTGGCAACTGAAACAATCCCCCCAAATTTATAAACATATGCAAAATGGTTCCAAATCCACTATTTGTTTGGAAAAAAGAAAATGAATCAAACAAGTCAACCCTAAACATGCATCTCTTAGAGATAATAACTGACAAACAACGGAAGAGACAACACAACTCCATTTTGAATTTCTGCTTGGTTTTCCTTGAGGATTTTTTTATTGGCAATGGATAATGAGGAAGAAGTATTTTTGCACACAAATGAGGAAGAGTTATGTGTCCACACATAAATGCCCTCAGTGTAATATTTTTACTGTAGTTCATCACTATGAACATCATGTGCAGGACGCACTGATGGCCATTTAGAGCACTGAGTTTCTCAGCAATGCAAAATGAAGGTAATGCTGTGCTTTCGCCCAGTCAAAGCTTTTAAATAAATGCCCTCAGTATCTAATTTTTATCTTCATGGTACTGTTTGCTCAGTGGATGGGTCTGTCTGCTCAGTAGATAGGGCTTTTTTATATTTTGTCCACCCTATTTTTGATATATCTTCCTTTTTGTTCCTAAAACTGAGGAGAAAGCAGATATACAGAACAGTTGTGTTTGTTAACAGACATGTTTTAATCTAACCCGTGAGGAAAAAAATCTACTATTACAAGCTGCTTCTTGTGGCTGAAGCACTGTGGTTACCAAGGCTCTGCTACTTGTTATGTTGTTCCAAGATCATAATGTCACGTCTAAGTGTGCTGACAGTCCTGCAATCCCACCTTGGCCTTCCACAGCAGACTATGGAGGGACTGCTTTCTTCAAACAAAGGTCAGTACCTCACTAAGACATTAAGTACAGCTCCCAAAGACATTTACAAAGTTTCACAAGGACAATCTTCAGCTGGAAAGGCTGCTTGCCCCTCAGTAGCCCAGTCTGTCTCCTAACAACCCATGTCCATAAGAATACTAGCATAATATTAATAAGTGAATTGGCAAGGGAATTTATATGCATACACTGTGTGTCTAGACCATCAAATTTGCGTTTGTTCTGTATTTTGTCCCAAGGACACTGCAACAAAGGTGCTAGTTGTCACTAGGCTGCATCTGAAGCAAGGCACCTAATGTTCTTGGTGAGGAAGCCTCAGTGCAGAGCAGGGGTAGATTCTCTCTAAGGCTGTACTCTGCAAACAGTCTGCAGGTGAGCCAGTCTGTACCAGACCACATGCACAGGCTCAGGGTTGCTCCAGGCATGAACCACAAGGGCAGCATGGACATAAGAGTCCAAGGTCACAGTCAGTACCTGTAAGAGACATTGTGTATGGAGACAGAACAACCACAGACCGAACAACTTACAACACCATGTAGTACAGAAAAAAGACATTTCCGAGTGTATTTATTGAGAAATAGTAAAGATGTACATAATTTTACAAGCTTTTAATTTTAATTTACATTTTCTTAAATTAGGTAGGCCCTAATAAACTATAATCTGCTAATACATGACAGAGACCCTTGGCTTCAAATACTCAAAATGCTGCTATTGCTGGGATTTTAGCTTCTGTCACTTCAGCTTCTCTTCAGAGATACTAAATACCATATTCATTTACAGCATATGCCTGCTGTCAATCCTTTAAAGCAGAGATGACTTTTGAACTGAAACCCTGGATCTGGGTACAACCTCATAGCTAAAACCTAGTCTCCCTATCCTGGGTCAAGTCTATATTCTCCATAAACTCTGCAATTCTGATGGAATACAGGACCTCATCCACCCCAAGATGAGGTATGCTTGTATAGGGGACTTTGATTTGGCCTCATCTTCCTTGTCAATGCTTGCACTGGAACACACTCCACACTGCTTTAGATGCAAACACTGCTGCTCACACTAGATTCTAATGAAAACAGATCTGGGAGCTAACTGCCACCTAGATCTTTGTGCACAATCTCCACAGGCATCTAAAAATAAGCCTATTTTTTAGTTTTTTCTGTTCTCTTTTACTGAACTGCACGGTTTTATATCTATTTAAGATACCAGCTTGTGACTGCAATCACACATTTTTTGTATTCTGCAAGCTGACTACTCAAATGCCTAATGAATGTTCATGTTCTGGACTGAGAACTGCTAGAGTATCAGCAAAAGGCGTTATATTCTATACTTCATTTGCCAAAAATACTTGCAAACATGACCTTTGCTCAATCGTGGTTGTTGAGGAGAGGCTGAAGGGAAGGTAGTTTCTGATTAATATGCTTTTGAATTAAAATGCACCCAGTGTCAAAGTGACCAACCTTCAGTTTAATCTTCTTAGGCCCACTTGGAACAGCCTGATGTCTCTGCCTTGGTTATTTTCTCCTCTGTATTGTTCATGCAGGAAAATATATCAGTCTAATTTCTCCCTACGAGGAATGTTCTACACACTTTTATTTAAAGATATATAGCAATTTTTGCTTAGCAAGAGAGTATTCATGCTCTGAAATTTTGTATTGCGACGGCTTTCGAGCGAAATCCTTGAATTGTCTTTGGATTCACATTTTTGTGGATTACTTATTTTTATAATTAACTTCTGCTATGGTAGCACACAGAACTTTGTCATGCTCTGTAAAACTTTCCTCCTTTTCCCTCCATCTCCTCTCTAGAAGTCCAGTATATAAATTGAGCTGCATCCACCACAAAAAGCTAAGCACAACTCCAATGAAGGCACTGCAAACCTTTTGTAAGAACCAACGGTTGTTGCTGGGCCACTTTCTGTTCTTACATCTGATTAGGAAAAGAACACTGAACAACTAATTTGAGAAATAATATTGCTTCATGCATTTAAAGAACACTGTGACTTGTCAAAGAAAAAGAAAAAAAAAAGCTAGTTCACCATATCAATTTTTTGGCTTATCATGCTTTTACATTGAGATTTTTATGCAATGCTAGAACTTGAGAAAGTCTTTGAAGTTTTTTCTTATTCCAGTAGAAACACCTTTTCCCACCTGAAACACTACAAAAAGCTGTTAACTACAGCTTTTTATGAAAAAGGTACTTCCAGGACAAATCTGACTAGACAAGTACTGAAAATATAAAGAAGGTATGCATAATTTTTACTTTTTGGACACATAAATCTATCACCCAAATAGCTAGCCTACAGTGATTTCGTATGTGGCAAGTCTCATGTGATGGCTTTAAACTGCCCAGTGATAACAAATTATTGTTAGTTTGTTGTGTGACTTGCATATCCAGCTCCAACACAGAGAAGAAATCCCATTTTTAGGAATTTATAGAAGAGTTTTGCCTTGTACTTTTAGTGGCTCCAAGCTTTCACCAACCAACTAACTTTCATGTAACCTCAACAGAGTTTAAATCAGCAAAGTCACTACCTGGTAACTATGACATATGTTGGCTTCACAGCACAGCGAGGGAAGATTTTCACCTCAGTGCCAACTACTGTGCTTGTGCAGGCATCCCAGAGTTTGCATTTAACACCTTCTCTTGCATACACCTCTTCATGCAGTTCAGTGCACAGACAACCTCAGATGTCTCCATATACAGTCTTAAAAATTGAAAAAAGTAGTTTCCATTTTCTGCAATGAGAGACGAACCACCTGCTGTTGTTTCAGAGTGCTCAAGCTGCACATAGAGCACTAAGGACCTCGTGTACAATATGGATGTTGCTCATTTTCCAAAGATGAAAAATAGCATGTTCAAATTCGCAAGATAATCATCACTGTATGGACCGTAACTTTTAATAGAAATTATGAAAGTTAAGGTGATATATTTCTCAATATTTCTTTATAAAAATCATCTCTTTATCCTCTCCTCAGATACCTGACATACTATTGAAATTTCTGGTTCAAAAACATTTATGGTTGTCCCTGTGTAGTATTTTGTGCAATCAAAAATGGGTGAGGAAAATCATGCTGACCCAAAACAAAATACATGGAAATGTGGAACACAATTGAAAAACTACCAAAATGCTACTTTATTTACCAAAGTGGACTATGCTCTTGAAACGGCCAATGTCATTATGCCAGTAATTTCAGCAGCTTGTGTTGATCCTGAATATGCTAAATGGAGCATTGTTTGCACATCTGACTGACTTGAGTTTCTTTAGTAATTTTTCATTCCTAATGGAATTGTGTTTTATTCCCCATCTGGGCTTAACTCCACATTTTCACCTTCCAGTAATGCCACCTGAACACTTTGTCTGCTGGGTGGAACTTTGTTCTTTTATACACAGCAGATGCACTCACTGTATGGCTTTCAGTGGACTTGGTAATTAATGAATATGGCTCTTAGTTCTCTTGTTGGAGAATCAAGAAATGATGCCGAAGGTGTTAAACACTTTTTTTAACCTTTCAACGTAGCGGTCCCCAGTATTAACTTCCCAACGTGCTCTTAACTTTTCTCAAACAATCAGTGGAATTATTCAGAATCCAAATAAAAACACAAACTTTCCTTTATTATTTTTTTCTTACTGCAGCAAATACTTAAATGTTTTGGTGCAGCTCTGCTCTTTGATTTCCTTGAATTTCAAATTTGGTCATGTCAAAAATTACCACGAAGGTTTTTCTTTGTTTATCTACAGAGTTTTTAACCAAAATTACATTATAACACACGAACACAATCTTCTCTTTAAGGCACAACACATCATTATGACATTCTGTTTGCCAAACTTATAAAAGAGACAATATTATATAACCCTTTCCCTCCCCTGCACCCCCAAAAGAAAGAAAAATTGCATCCACTTCCAAAATCAGCTGCTAACAAAGTCACAGTAAATTATTTTCATCAATAATTTACACAAATTACAGGTCTAGACAGGATTGTCATTATACAGTCTGAGTGCATTCCAATTCAGATTTTCTGGGTTAGGTAGGCTAAAGTCTGGTTCAAACCTCAGTGCTGAGAATATATCCCATTTTGAGGAATGTTGTTGAACACCACCTTGTTGGCTGGAAAACGCATTTTGGTGCTTTGCCAGTTTGAGTCCTTTGTTCACTCCTGTCAGGGCTCACTTGGTGTGTACCAGCAACCTCCACAGTTTTAATTCATTTAAAAATGTTGCATATATAAGACCATAGAGCTTCCTTATGTAGCACTAATGTTTTAACTTCATTCAGCAATCTGAATTCTTCAATTTGGAATTTTTAATTCCAAATATTTCTTCCCTTCTTAAGACAATTCATATGTGTAAAGCCAGAGGCATTGAATCACACATAAAAATTCAGTGTACTTGAAATATATATATAAAAAAAAGGATCGCCAACTTTAGAACACAGTTACAAATACTCTAGTTCCAGTGCTTGATGGAGAGCCAAGAGGTCCGAATGACTGGATATCCTCCAGAAAGGCATGTTGTGCTGTGTTTGTTAGAGGAGGGAAAAGGTCAGGAAAGATGAACACCGTGATACAGGGTGGTATATGACACACGAGGCTAGTTAGATTACCACCACGTATTTTACATCACTGTTTCTGGATTGATTTTTGGTATTAAAGTACTGACAAAAATCAGACCAAAATAGATCTGAGCTTAATAGCTCAACTGAAGTTAAAATAATTAGATAGTCTTTCTTAATAGTTTCTTTGGAAACAGCCTGTTACTTATTAAGAGCTACTTGCTTAATGTTAGCATGCAAACCCATACAAAGGAGCATTAATAGGAAATGCCTTTCTGCTCCACTTATTTGACTGCAAAATACTGAATGATCACTTAAAGGGCTATAAGACTTCCATTAAAAAAAGCTTCTCACTCAACACTTTGAAACAGCGTTGAATTACATTTTTTCTCCATCTAGCGGAAAAAGAAATCTCTTTTGATATGAAAACAACACACTTGTGGTTTAAGAAAAGATAATTTGTGTTGGAGAAAGCATCAGGATCCGAGAGGTTCAAGTATATGCACTATTCTCCTTCAACAATTCATCAGCATATTAAAAAACCCCATACTTTCATGTTGAGTTCAGATCTATTTGTAATGTGCCATATTCATCCCTCTCTCTGAATTCTGCACCTATCCATGCAATATAGTCAACATAAGAAAAAAAGCATGCCAAACCAGAAAACAGAATCAAACCACCATCATTTAGCACAAATTATAAAAGACCCATCACCAATACTGTACCTATATTAAGGAACCATTTGGAATGAGCATTTTGGTTATTTTCATTTTCTTTCCATTCCAACTACAACACTATGAGGGTACTTTATTTTGCTACTCCTAGCTCAAGGATATTTACATCACTTGTCCTGTACAGACACTGTCAGGCAAAAATTACAGTTTCTGCACACTTCCAGGGGTTATACTAGAAAGTATGGCACAAATTACGAATTTTATCTGTTTCTGAACACTGAAAATTTTTCTGCTGAAATTGGACTTGAATTATCATCATAAGAAAATTGAATATTTATAAGGAAAGAGTTCTTTTTTTCAGAACCATAGATTTGGTACACAATCTCTATGTTGTGTTCTTTTTCCTTCAGCAGATACATCTCTCTTGAAGCAAATTATATGTTTATCATATTTGCTCCAGTAAATTATGGATCTTCATCTATGTTAGCAAAAAATTTGCACAGTCCTTTACATGTTTTTCCACATTCTCTGTAATACTTCTCTTGAAACATCCCTGATTTCAATATTTAGAGAAAAACACCACCCACCATCGTGTTATAGCCCTTTCTATCTCTTCTGCTTATCTTTTGATTTGCTTGAAGCTAGTCAGACATTTTTGCTGCAATATTTCTTCATTTATTTTAAAAATAATTTTGTTCTTTCCAAAGCCAAGTGAAGCAAATGCTAGAATCCAAATGGTTCGTTTACTCTAGTTTTGATCTCATCATGCTCTTGCTGCCTTGCATCTGTGGACTGAAATTATTTGTCATTTTGTGCAACACTGACAGAAATGCAAACAGAAAGGCTTGCATTAGTAGCTACGTATCACACCAACATTTCAGAAGACAGGTTACCTTTTTTGCTGCCTGTTCTTCTTCTACACCATCCCCAATTACAACATATACTACTTTTCTGCCAAACCTTTGCATTATTCGTTCAAAGCAACTTTCTTTTCCTGGAAGATAAATGAGATAAGAGTTCAGAGTGAAGTTACCTGATTAGCTGCATGTTCCTCATCTCGGCCATCTCCAATCACAACATAAGTTATGTTAGTGCCAAATCTGGACACTATACGCTCAAAACAGCTCTCTTTGCCTGAAAAACAAGGCACTATTTATTCAAAATATCAAGTGAGTTATAGTGAAGTCTTACAAAGGATTTTTGGAGTGGTAAGACATTGCTACTACTACTTTTGAAAGGTTCCCAGTCTTAGAGCCAAATCGGGTAAGAAGTAATTAATTCCCTTATTGACACTAAGCTGTTTCAGGTAAAGCTAAATTTATTAATTATTACAGGAAAGCCACTAAGGTAAAAGAATTAGCAACTCTGCAAAAATTAACAGGTTAGTGAATTAAACCATACATTTACAAACATAGCACAAAAAAGGCACACAGTTATGAATACAATAGAGAAGTGCTCTTTTGGCATCCACCAATGCAGCTTCTGTTAGTAATAGTTTTCATCACCATCTCTGACGTATTATGACTCGGGAAAAAGTTTGTGGAGCTGTGGCCTTACTTACATAGAGCTGAATGTCAGAGCAGAGGTTATTTTAACAAAAGTTCTGCTCAGGTTTGAATTCACAGAACACTTTTCTTCATGGTTTTCTGCACGTTTTTGTTTTCTCCACCATACCGAGGAATTTCTGAGTCTTTTAATCAGTATCTTTATTCCTTCAGGCATCATTTAAAATAAGGCAACTTTGGAATTCTTCGACATAAAGATATCTGAATATATGCAATGTCTAAATCTTATAACTAAAACTGCTAAGTGTCAAGGAAGTGTTTTGGAATCCATCCATTTCTGGCAGAAAAAAAATATTGGTAATGCAGTGTAGTGAGAATGAATGAAAGAATAATTTTCTTACCTATTTTGGTTGCACTGTAAATATTTTCAATAGGAAAAGCTCCTCCTAAACTGTATAGTAGAACTTTTGCAAGTGCTGGGATAAGCTGGGTCGTTGTTACCAATACGTTTACACAATTACTCCTAAAATGAGAGAAACGGTTTAAGTTTAAATAGTTTCGAAACAGTATCCAAATGCTGATGAAATGAACTAGCTGTGAAGAGCATATCCAGATTTCCTCAACATTGACTTTCACTGACACGGAAAGTGCTGTTCAGCACCATCACTTACAGAAAAATGTACATAAAACTTTGGAAAAAATCCTTTAAAAAATATGCAGGGCCTGATTTTTGTAGGAAGTATTCCACAGTAGTTTATAGAAAACAAGTCCTTGAATATGAGTCCACTAAAACACAGACATTTAAGACTACCAAGTACCTCCAAAAAGAGGCATTTTAATGCTTCGAAAGCACAATTTTCATGCTGGCAATAAACTGGCAGTAGCCATCAGCAATATAAAGGAGTTAAGAGAACACAAAAACATTTTTTGTTACTCTTTAAGGGAAATAAACAGCCAGTACACATTTCTCCATAATAACATTACTTCCTTCATGTTTCAAGAGTAGGAATATTTCTAAGAGGGAGGATAATCGTGGTAATAAGCTGGCATCAAATGGCAAGGATGGAAACTTGAATGGAGAAGTTGTGCTAGCAGCTATACAACAGAAAACTCAGAGCCAGGCTACTTTAGGCACTGACAGGCTGGAACATGAGCGTGACCATGGCGTGGTTGGAGTTGAGAGCAAATAGTTGTGATTTTTCCTTCTGGTATTTCCATAAATTCCAAGCAAGACCTTAGGCTATTATTTCTGACTTAAGGTATCTCAATTTCCTGTCAATAATGTAAGTAATGTTTAGCTGACTCATGGGTAGCTTCTGAAGATTTATAGTTGTACAGTTCTCTGAAGACAAGACAAAAGACTATTATTTAACAATTAGGAGTAACTGATAACAGTTTTCCAGACTCATCCACCCATGCTCAACTGGCCTTCATTACCAAAAGTCTTTTTGAAGACTAACAATTTGGAAAGGAATGCAGAGCTAAACACAGCTTATACAATCACAATTTTTTTACTTTTCTCCTGATGTGTTTAGGACACTGTTAAGTTAATAACTATTAAAAGATAAACATATTGCAAAACTTGTTACATTGAAAATAAGATTTTCATGTCTTTCCAAGTTTGTCTTTCCACTTGATGCTAAGTCTTCTCCCAGACATGTTCAGAAGGCAAGATGACTTAATGTTTTTCTTTTCTATGGTTTAAACCCAGGATTTTTTAGGATTTCTGGTAAGATACATATTGCGTGGCTGATTAAGCAGCAGCAGTGTTCATACTTTCATTGTTTCAAAGAACAGTACATTTTATGTCTCATTACTAGGAACCCAGACTTTTAACTCAGTTAAAAGAGATTTTTGCTCTTCTGACAACTTAAGGTATATCTTAATATATACTGATTTGCTTGGAAGGACAGAAGGAAAATGTTCTTGTGTTCTGGTATTTATACAGTATTTAGGTAGCACTGTGAATAAGCACAAACATTGAAGGACAGAGCAGAGATACGTGGAATTCAGAGAATGCTGTCCACAAGATAATAAATTAAAAGCTGCCTCAGAATTCTACAACACATTTTCAATGTACACATATTTTAGAAGACATTTTATACTATCTTTAGTAAATGGTGGAATCACTTAAAATGAAACCACTTTCCACTTTTCCCGTGTCCTATTCCAAAGTCATAGTAGATCTGTTCTTTAAAGGCACTCATTTACTGTAAGCTAAAATGAAAAAAATAGCCATTACATATCCAAAACTAGAACCTTTTTTTACAGTAGACTCAGATACATACCTTGTGCTGATAATTGATAATGATTTAAGTGCATTTGTTAGCCAGGAGTCTGTCAAAGCTTCAATCTCTGCTCTTAATTGCAACCATGCATCTCTTTTAGCGGGACCCAGGAGTCCTTTTATGTAAAAGAGAAAGAAAAATAGAATTAAATTCTGTATTAGCTGGAATGTATTGGGGTTTATGGTAATTGTTTATATTTTAAATTCCACTAGAACTTGAACAAATATCAAAGAGAAAAATCTATTGTCTTCAACCATCAGTAAATCTTTGGTTTTATTTGTACTTCGCTGCATCAAGCAATGTCAGAGAATATTTTAGATACTAATAATTAGTTGGATTTTTTCATCTATTCAGGCTGCTTTACTGCATTTCAAAGTATACCTTTCAGAAATAAGTATTTTTTAAACCAACTCCTCACATGTATCTTACTCTCAAATTATCAGAGGCAGTGACAAGAAGATCCATGTCATCAGGATCACAGGCAGAGACAGTCACAAAAGAATAAACTGGCCTTTGCAGTATCTGCATATGTTTAAAACTGCCCTGCTTATGACTCTGTATATAGGTGAACCGCAGGTTACACATATGAAAATACATTTGTTTGCTGATGGCTTGCTCTTCATGTCCTATTGTAGTTAGTAATAATAGCTCCTTCTATAGCATTTACAGCCCTGGAACAGCTGCACATCTTATGTTCTCAGATCTCAGTCTTTAAAAGCTCAAAATTTCTTTTTGTGTATAAATCGTAAGATATTTAAAAATACCCAGCCTATTGAACATTGAGACATGAATTCTTTGGAACCAAGATATTTTAAAATTAGATTTCATCCTGGAAGAACAAGGAAGCAGGCTTCATGCCCTTTAGTATCCCTCTTCTAAAACCCTATGTTCCCAAGAAATGGTGATGACTGTCTTCAAAAATCTGAAATGAAGCAACCTAAAAATATATAGATTAGTCTAGCCTTCTGTTGCCTTCTAGCCACTATTCTGAAATAAACAGATAAATACGTGATAAGTAGGTTATTAAAAAGGCTAAGAAGTAGAGGATGAATGAATAAACTTGCCCACTAAGGATGAATTATATTTCAGAAGCAGGATTTCTGGGGGTACAATGCATCACGTATCTGCATTCTGCCTTTGCAATGATTGTTCCTCTTAGTGCAATTCCTTATGTTGTGCTCTTGGACTTGAGCTCTTACCAGTGTAAAAGGTTTTATGAAATGCAGCAGCTTTAGAATCTTAGATGCATTAAGAGATATAAGAAAACCCAGTAAACTTTTGGTTAATACTGGTTCAAGAATTATTAGTATACAAAAACTATTCATGACACCAATAAAGGGCAAGGGAGGGCAAGTGAAAGTCAGACCTCTACTATACCCTTTGGTCCTATTGCTTCATCCTTTGGCATGTAAAAACTCTAAACTACTAAGAGTGAAAATACACGACTGTGGCAATTCTTGAAGACTTCTAAGTATTCCCTGTTCTCACAGTCTCTTTTTGAATGGATCAGTTGACATATTCACCTCCTCAGAAGAGGGCTGGCTGTCTCTGCAAGTCACAGGACTCTCCACAACAGATTCTTTTGGTTCTGCTGCTCAATTACCTGCACATCTGCTGGTGAGGACATGAGCAAGTCCATGAAGTAAAACAGTAACAGGAAAGCTCTTGGCCCAAATGAGACTTAGACTTATTGAGAACACAACTGTGTAAGCTACAGAGTCAACAAAAGGGGCTATTGGCATGGCAGTGCTAAAATTTTCTTGAATCCACTGGTGAAAACAGACTAGCAGGTACCCAGCAGAGTTCAGGAGACTGTGTGTTGTTACCAACTAGATCATGAAAATGTAGGATGGAAATGGCCATCCACAAACAATTTGTGCCGTGGAAACTATACAACATCTTTCCTAGAGGCAGCATATTTGAGACAGAATAAGTGGTTCAACCAATCAGTACAGTAAGAATACCTGGGTCTAAAGCAGGAAGATGGGCTCTTTTGGAACCAAATGAAAGCCTACTTGATTTTTCCAACTCTTTCTCCTGCACAACAGCACAACACTGGCTTTACTGCTCCAGTCAGTAGCTTTCAACAGCCCATGGTCCAGTCACATCACTTTCCATTCCCTCAGTGGCTTCCCAGGCACATTCACTTGGTAGGAGTTCATCACCACGCAGTTTAGACTGATCAGCAGTCTAAGTTCATTTTGACAATTAAACTCACCTCCTATGTTGTTCTTGTAAGTATTATACAACTCTTTTACTCTTCTGTAACGGAAAGCCAGCTTCCTCATCCAGTCAACCCCTCCTCTTACACCTGTTGGCAGACAAAGGTTTGCACTACTTGCAGCTGCATGGAAGCCATCAGTTGCAAAACTGTAGGTACTGCAAACACCCAAAATACAGTAAAAATAAATACAATGTATTCCTGTAAATGCTCAAATTATTTAATCTTTGAAAATAAAAAAAAATAAACAAATGCTGTATCTTACCTTAGGTCTTGTCCGTTATCATCAGAAGAAACATCATCTATATGAACTTGATCACACTCCTGTTGAAAACAAACAAACAAACCCAAAGATTATAAGATAAGTTATCTCATAAAAGAGTGTAATCACCATTCCGGGAAGTCTTCAAAAGGCATGTGGATGTGGCACTTGAGGATATGGTTTAGTGCTGAACATGGTGGGCTAGGTTAACGGTGGGCCGGTTGGACTAGATGACATTAGAAGTCTTTTCCAACCCTAATGATTCTATGATTCCTATGCTCACCACAGGCTTAGTACAGATGCTGAAGAAAGGACCGGTGCAGTGCACCAACTACACCAGAAGATGGCAGAGTGGGTACACTCACAGCTTCCTATCACCATCATTGTCTTTAAAATAATAAAACCTTCAACTCCTACATAGTGTAAATTACTAGTTAAAACGGGCCTTTAGAAAAGCAATATGCAATTCTGGTGTAATTTTAGATTATTTTAATTGTAAAACCCCAACAATTGCAAGTCTCATTTATAGTCTCCTTAGTATACCAATACTTAAAAATCACCTAAATCATATTTTCCCACTCCCTAGAAGCTAATGATGAAGAACCTCAAAAGGCATATGACTTATGTTAAGTAGTTTGGACATGTATCAGGTTCTTCTATTAATTTATGCAAGTGCCTTTTGCTGGGAAATCACAGATAATCATCAATCCTGAAGAACTTCATTATTTCCGGGTTTTGGAAAGGATGGAAGCAACATGAGGGAACTGAGGTACACTAGAAAACTGAACTCCCCTCCAAGATGGTTTTATAATTGAACATCTATCAAATATCCTTATCTGAACAGTGGTTATAGCAGAAAGGCAAGAAAATGTGGGGGAAGCACAATAAATAAATAAGTCAAGCCATCACGCATCATATTAACTGTTTTCAGCAGTTGTTTGAACTAACATCTTAACCCAAAGACGCACCTGAAATTCAATGTCCAGAGATTTTACTTTGCTGTATGTAATTTTTTAATATTTAAAATAGTTATTGTTAACATAGTCCTAAGATGTTTTAAGGAAAAGTTCAAGGACGTATTTAAAAATTACTCCCCAATTAATACTTTCCAATAATTTACTCTCCTTACTTAGGCAAAATGAGGTTGAGCTTTCAAAATGCACAGCTCTGTGCCTCAAAGAAAGAGTTGTCTGGGTCATCTATGTCAAATAAAGTTGCTGACAAGCAGCACTTAACTCAAGCTCTCTATGACATGCAAGAAGACACAGTTATAAGTTTCCAATCTCTGTCTCATAAGAGTGCTAAGTTGTACAGATAAAGGATAAGTCTGAGCAGAGGAGTTATTTCCAAATGTGTATGCCACAAGTTTCTAGAGCGTGAGTTGGGGAAATTAACATTTCATCTGTTTTGTCTGCTTTGCAATGAACGAAAACAGATTTTACCCACTTGAAGTAAGTTGCTAAAAAAAATATATAAAATAAATATATATGATTTCATTTTCAAATACGTAATTTCATTTCATCATACAAGCAATCATAATTTAAAATATTGAGTCAAAGCTAAAAAAATGAGTTACCAAACTCTGCTCATCTGGCTGAGTCCATTAAGACAGGTATGACAGAGATGTGTTCAAGGAACAGAAGTGAAGCATTCTTGTCCCCACTGGAGAAATAAAATTTTTTTGGTTCTGTTTGAGGAGATTATCTTGAGCTGTAGAATATTTTAAAGAAGTTGTTCTGGGATGTAAATAGTAGATGAAAAGAGAAAGTAAAGGGGAAGGGGCAGCTGAAATTAAAGATTGATTTCTTTATCCTTATTTATTATTTACACTCCAGAAAAAAAAATGCAACTATGCTTCACCACGTGTAGCACAGGAACTCAAAAATCAAGACAAAAAGCCCCACTCTTTATTTTGCAGTATCTAGCTTCCTAATCACCTTCACAGGTTTCCCTGGAACTGGTGAAAGTGTAAGTTTAAAAGTTTAAAAATAATTTCTGTGGATTTGAAGGTGTACTAATTAAATGAAGGGCACACAAAAGCCTTGATGGATAAGTCAGTTTGGATTTTGTCAATCCTTTCAGCTACATTGTTCCAGCCTTGAAAATTTCAGATAACTGTTCTGCTGAAAATTTCATTATTAAATTAAATATCAGTGGGTGGCAAAGTCTCAGCTGTTTACTTTATTTTTTTTGTTGTCTCACAGTTTGTTCATTGTGATTCTGTGATTGACTCCAGGAATAGGAGGGTACCATGCAGTTTTCTGATTACTTGTCCCTTGAAGAACGTCGTTAAGTATACAGGAGATCAATCCCAACAGCACTCTCCAGCTTACTCCTTTTTCCCCCTCATCATCTTCTCTCAGCATACTGGCAACTTACATTTGCTGAGCAGCAAATAACTCCTGTGCTCACAACTTCTTGCTTTTGTTTACTTTGTTTTCTTGTTTACTTACTACTTGACCTGTTTACCTTTTACAAGTTCACTTATATGGAGTCAAAAAAACTTGCCATAAAAAAAAGAAAAAGCAGATGGGTTGAGCAGATTTGAGATAGTTATCTACTTTTTCTCAAAAGAAACAGGAAACTGGTAGCACAACACAACATCTGAGTTTGCTTTTAAACAACACCAAACAGTTATGGGGAGGAAGGAAAGAAAGCAAGCTCTCTGACACTGTAAATGTTAAAGTAAAATACTTTTCACATCAGCTGCAGTACTGGTTAAGCTCAAGTCACAGTGGCTCATTGTCAGTGCAAGGTCAAAATTTAAAAAACATAAAAATATATTTCCTATTACTGTGACTATAGGAAAGGAATCTAGGTACAATATCTAGCTTTTGCTTGAAGCAATACTAACTTAAATTATATCTGAGTGCAGTCAATTCTTTCCAGTGATTTTTAGAGCCTGAAAAATTGAGAATACAGAATCAACAAATCATCCATAAAAATTATCCTCCTGAAATGGACAGTAATGTCAATATCTAGTAAAAACACTGACTTACGACACTGAACACAAAACTGTTATTAATGAGAGGATATTCAGCACTATGCTTTCTTAGGCTAGACAGAAAACTCCTTTCAATGTATATGCTTCAGTCTCTGTTAAAACTAGTTTGACCTGCCTCCCAAATTCTGAGACTTACTTAAATTCTATTTTTTATTTCTCATTTCTATTTCTAATGAAGAAAAAGAAAAGAAAAAATCTCCCTTAAAATATGGTAGGATTATCATAAAAATGGAAATATAATTCAGTTTGTTGGAAACAAATACTCTTTTTTCTTCATTGTCCTGAGAGTGGAGGGGGATAATCGAATTGGAAGACTCACATTTGAGTGCCTACTTGTAATTTATAGAAATTGAGGGGTTTTGTATGCATAAAATGCATTACCAACATTTCTAAAAGCTGTCTTAAAATTAATACTGGAATAGGGAGAAAATCTTATTCTTTACCTGGTTGACAAGAGAATTCCTTAGTTGGATATAATAACAAAACTGATTCCCATCTCTAAGCGTTGTTTAGGCACACGAACCTTTTAGAGCACCAGACTCCTATTTTTATGGCAAAACACCAACTGCCCTCCCAGGTGATACTTCTCAAGCTAACTAAAATTTATACACTGAGAATGCAATAGCTGGAGAACAGTCTAGCCTGAAATAGAAGTGCAGCTTGGCTGATTAGAACATGGGTTACTGGGTCAGCAGGGAATGTCTCGGCAGATCAGAATTTCTGCATCAGCAGCCACTGTAGTGAGACAGATTTGCATAAAGGAAGGAAAACTTTATTTCTGTGATAAATTCAATAACTTGGTTATTATTACTAGACCCTGGTATGTAACCAAGAAAGACAGGGGAAAAAAGAGAGCGTAGAGGACGTTGTGGCTGAAGTCAATATTACAGCAATAGAGGTTCAGTAGTACATTAGAGTTGTCATGTCCAGTGCCTTGAGGTTTATCATGGGATGAAGATGGAAGCAAGACAGAAGGTAGGGGACATGAGGGTTCACCATTAAAAAAGTGAGATGATGAAAGGATAAGTAATCAGCCTAGTAAAAAAAGGCCTATCTCACTTCTTCCAGTAAGAACTGAAGGTCTCATGTCTTGATGGCCATGCTTGATCAGCAGCTCAGCATTTAGCTCTGCTCTCCTTGTGAGGATGGAGAGAGGAAGATAAAGACAGATGGAGAGAGGAGGAGAGATGAGAGAGAGACCCCAAGTCAGAACTGGGGAATTCTCAGAATTCATTATACGTTTATCATGCAGATTCACTAGAATATTCAGTAATGGCCATGTGCTCTGCAAACATATTTAAAAAGACAGATTTATTCATCAGTTTATTAAAGGATGCCTCTACATACTTTGCCACATTTTTTTATTTGGTAAGAAGATAGAAAATTGCTAGTCTTCTCACTTCTGCATACATGCCAGATTGTATGCATACTACTCATCTCAGTACATGAACTTTGAAATTTTATAAGAGAGGTATATTTTGGTAATTTTATAAGAGAGTTGGTTTTGAAACAAAGATTAATTCTGGGCTATAAAATGCTTCATTTCTTATAGCAGCTGTGATTATTGATTGCATATAGAAACTGTTTTTAATCAAATCAAACTGATTGATTAAACAGATCAAACAAAAGACACTCCAAGATAGTCCCCAAGTAGTACTTTTTGATTTATCTAAAACTGGAAACTATTTGGATACTGTTCAAGCTCTGGAATGAGTTGGTGCATGAGTTTTTGGACAGGATATTAAAACCTCCTGACAAAGACTATCCAAAATGTGATGATCCACCTATGACAGCTGAACCTGTGATTTGTAAAGAAAATAAAAAATGAGAGAAAGGTAGAAGGCTTCAATAACCATAGGCAAGAATAAAGAGGGATGGAAGGAGGGCAAAGCTCCATTTTTGCTGAACTCTTCCACTTGAACTCAGCACAAGATTGAAGAACTCTGGGTATATTCTACCAAATTGCTTAAAATTCATTCGTGTTGCATGAAATCTGAACGCACAGGGGCAAAGGTCTGCTAAAGAGAAACTGAAGAAATGCTTTGGAAAATTTATTTGGTGTCTCTCCCTGGTACAGGGCACCAGAAGAAGAACATCCACCAAATGTGCTTGCACTGTCAAGTGATGACTCACTAGGACTGCAATAAAACACTGGGAAAGGCATGTCCAGGGCTTTATTTCTTAGGTTTCTGCTGCTGGAAGGAGGAAGCGCAGTTCAGGTGTGGGGTGAAGTAGATTCTAGCTTCTTGACTTAAAAAGATCTAGGAATAGATGAGGTCTACAAGGGGTAGCAAAGGCAACCACACACTGGTACCTTCTGCTTTTCTTACTGCCTACAGTTGTAGAAGGAACAAAAGACACACTAAAAAAATCAACATCCCAGGGGATGGAAAAATCTCACTTATTCTTATTTTTTCTATTCTCTCACCTTCCTCTGGGATTCTGAAGAAAACCTCAAGTCTTCCAGCTGCCATTAGTAGCAAATATCTGTCCATGGGGGAAATCTGGGATCCCCTCTGAATAAGAATACAACTGTTTTAGACCAGGGGAAGGTCTGAAAAGCCCATAGTTTAATTTGAAAACTGTTTTTCCACCCTGTCTCTTGATGCACATGGTTATAAGACTATCATTTTCCATGCTAACAGATCCAGACTCCCAGAGTGAAATAAAAAACCTGTGAAGCCCAGCTGATGAGCGTGCTTCCCAGACCACTGTCCCTGCAGTAGTCCATCCATGTGCTTCTGATAGGTAATCTGTCCACAGCAGGCACTCCCTAGGGAGAGGTCTTTTCTGACCAGTTGCCAAACTGTACACCCTGGGTATACTGTGACAACACATGTGGTTGCCTGGTTACCTTGGGAAAAGACATCACTGATGAATACATTATAGTCCCAGCTCTCTGATGCTACAGTCTTTGAGGTAAATGAAGAATCTTCTCCATTTGAACAATAAATGGGGGCCTGTGGCTAAAAGGCTACTCAGGTATGTCAAGAGAAGAACACAGACTCTTGTGATCGGATGATGGCACCCACTGAAAGTGAATATAAAGAATTTCAAGAGAAGAACGTGAGGCACATATGTTCCCCTCCTGGATATGACAGCAGACAGCTCTAAGTCCATGGAAACTGAAAAGATGGCTATAGGACATAGAAAGGAATGGGTAGTATGCAGATTGTCTCTCTCATTGAGTTTCATGGAAGGACTCTGGTGCCACAGGAAGTCAGTGCCACCTGGCTAACCTCTCTCTGATTAGAGTAGGACAAACCTAAAGACTACAGAGGCAGTAAATGTCACACACAGTAAACACTAATGCACAGCAAATCCACCATGTTAACAAAACAGGAGCAATGGTGTTTACGTTCCTTTGATCTTACCTCTAAATCATTAAAAAATAAATGTGTGTCAGCAAGATTAAAAATCATTTCTTCCATTCTCAGTCCAAGCGTCACTGCCATTGGTGGATCCTTAAAAAACAGAAAGCAAGGTTAACTACTTACACACTTGTAAGTTATGTCAGAACTACTTTAAAAATTGCTGTATTCAAAGTGTTTTGAAAAATTAACACAGTAAGAAATTTCTCTGAAATCCTTTCAGTATTAAGCTACTTTAATATGATACTGTAAGAAGAGACTGCTAAACCTGTGCGAGAAAATCTGAGGAGCTGTGGATGTTGAAAAATCAAGCTTTTTGAAAGTTGAGGAATTTACAACCTGGCTGAACTGACAGGAAAAAACCTGGTGGCCATAAACATACAGATAAACAAGCATAAAGAAGGTTGGAAACAGGGAAGGAACTTTTCACTAAAGAGGTATGTAGGAAAAATACTGTGATAGGAAGGTGTGACTTAAGTGGCCTTTTCCATTTCTAATGTCTCTGCTTTATAAAAATACAAAAGGTAGTCTGAACCTATGTCCATTTCCCCAAATTCAGTTTCACTTTGGATAAATCATCACAGCCTTGGCTATGCTTAGGTCTACATTGCTTCTTTCTCACACTTTCTTCCACTCCAGTATGTAGCTTCAAACCTTGCACTTGATCCTTCTCTGTCTCTGTATTTCCCCTTCTTCCATGAAGGCACTCAATGATGAATTTCTGGTCTTTCCTTTATGATTTTACTGCAGCTATTCATTCAACAAAGTGCCTACAATCTATGGCATGATTCTTTAGCTGGCCCACAGGAATGGGAAATGTTGTAAGTTTGTAAGTTTGTTTGTTTGCTACAGATCTCCCCTTCATTTCTGTAGAAATACTAGATTCTTGTCCCTGGATGAGATTCATTCAAAATGTCCCATTTGTTTGTATGTTGACTTTCACACTATCAAACTGCTCTATCTCAGCAAGATATCACAAATCTACCGATTTGCAATAATGCTATCTGAGAGCATTAAGTGTTTAGCAAATGTAAGGTAATTAATTTAACTTTTCTAAGTTTGCTAGGAAATAGTAAAGCAAATTTGCATTACCTTACATTTGTTTTAGAATAATAGTTCCTGGTGCTTTGCTGACATCTGGTAATTAGTTTGATTACTGTCTTAATTATCTGCCTGAGCTTGTGGGGTTAAGTTAACTTTTTAATGCTTAATGTACTGCAATGGACTTTCAAAATACATGTGATCCTCTTCACATTAAAATATGAAAAAAAAAGACTATATTCCATAATTTAAACTTTGATTGACACTATCAAATTTTCAGAAATCCCTTCTTAAATACCTTGAGATTTAAAGTCTAAAAGTTTACCAGCATGTAGCAACAAAATCACACAAAACCTCAGCTGATCATTTGTTAGTATTTGGATCAAAGGCTTCCCAACCAAGATCAGACACCCACTACTCCAGGGCTTCACAATGACAGAATAAAAGATGGCTTCTGCACTCAAGCATTTAATAACTAATGGTAAAATCTAAAACACAGACATATTTTGACTCTTGCTCATGAAAAAGTCATACCTGAAGGGGAGAACAGTATTCAAGAAATTGTTATGATTCAAAGTTAGATCCAATACTTTCAGCGAAAGGAAATATTTTTATGTTGACCCTCGAACTGGTCTAGACTACCTTTCAGAAGTAAAAACCAAATGCAGTGCCCAGTAACAGAACTTCATCCCCTCTGTCTTCTGCAGTCATATTTACTGGATTTGAAAGTCACATGGCTAAAGGCAGCAGCAAGTGCAAAGGTCAGTTTTCCAAAAGGATGATCAAGGAACACACATTAACAGATTTGTAAAACTCATGTTAGGTACTTAAAACACAAATAATCAAACTACCCTGGACTCATGAGATTCCTCATCAAGCCATGATGTTTTTATCAAAATGTCATCACATATAAACATGTGTTTGCATTTTTCTTTTTCTGTGCACAGTTAATTATGGATTTTTCTTTCTAGATAAAATACAGTAGAGAGTATTTGCAATATGCTTCTTTGCCTCAATCCTACAAACACTAAGGCATGTGCATAACTTTATGAACAGGTGGTAATTCATTATTATTTATGTAAGTTACTCACTGGAGTGCGTCCAAAGCTGTAATCTCACTTTTGATTCTCATCCTGTTTTTACCCCTTTCTGAGTAGAAGCAGACTCGAATGTGGAAATTTGCTATAATGTATTCCATTATAATGCCACCTATGTATGACAATTTCCTGCCTTGCCTATTATAGTTTAAAGACATTAAATATGACAAAGCTTTTATGATTTTCTTATTAATAGTAGTTTTGTAACCAACTCTGCCTGACTTTATTACTATTAATATTATATTTCCTATGTTCCTGTTTTGACAAAAGTATGAGAAGGATATTGAGAGGTACTACATAAAAACTAAAATAAAGCAAAAAAAATTCATTTCAGCTTAGCACAACATTGATATGGGATCTCCCTATAACAACTTCTGCTGAGGAGAGTCACTGGAATTGAATTCTCAAGGCATGAACAATTTTTCCCTTAATAAATTGACCAAAACTTGCACTGCAACTGTTTAACAGGAATTACACATCATGTTCCAGCTCTTGCCATGTTAAGTTATTTTCTTCACATATAAAATAGCCAAAAAAAGAAGATTTGTCATGGTCTTGTGGTTTTATACTGTTTGCACAACGTGGAGGAACATCACAATCATCATTTTAGTCTTTCAACTTGAAGCAGAAGTTACAGATTGATTCAAGTGGCACAAAGGACTGAGTGTTGAACAGAAAGCAAGAAACTTGCAGCTGATACAGATTTTAGCACAGCAAATTGGAAAACTTAATAAGAGGCAGACTGAACTTCTGCCAAAATAGTATTTTCAGCTACTCTGCACAAGCACACACAAAAGAGGAAACAATGATTTAAAAAAAACCCTCAAACAAATCTGGAAGTTTTCCTCAGATAATTTGTAGAATAAAGAACAACTCTTTGGCCCTCAGAGGCATGATGTTAGCCAGATATCATTAGTGTGCAGAAAAATCAAGACCAGCTAAAGCAGCTCTGTATACCAAAATACAAATTACTTTAGTTACATTCAGATGAAGGCACTACTCTGGAGCCAGACTGTCTGCCTGTGGATTTCTGTACTAGACTGGTCCATCCACTGGAATGCCTCCTGGGAGACTAGATAAAAATATTCTAGGAGGACCAATATTTATATGTGTGTTTTGACCAAGAGGAAAGTGACTGGAATAAAGCCCCAAAAGCTCAGTGTCCATTACTAGAAGAAATCTTTTTAATACTGTCTTGGAAATCAGGTTTCAGCAGAAGATGTTCAAAATCATTTCATTTCTTGGAAAAAAAATACAAACACCAAACTGACTTTCAGAACACCTCAGAAAACAAAGAGATTACCGTCAGGTAGATTTCTTGTGTGAGCAATTTGGATGCATAAAGCCTTAAAAATAAGCATGAAAACAAGCAAAATATATGAATAGTATTGTAGGAAGTGGTTTTCAATTGGGTGGCTGTCCTGAACAAACTCAGAACAAAACTGGCCTCTGGGAAAAGTGGAAATGCTTTATTTAAATACCAATATTTTTAGCTTAGGGACACTTCCCTATGTTATGTAGGAATCTTAGATTTAATTTCAGCTCTAACTCTCTCATAGGGGACATTTGTCCCAGGAGAGATTCATATGGGTGGTAACGGAGGAAGAGAATATATCTCTTCTTAATAATCATATGTGGTGGCTGATGAAGGAAAACTCACATAACTCCATAGAGAGTTTCTGTTCCATGCTCTCTATAAGGTGGTATGAAAATGAACTCAGAGCTCTCAGACAAGGAGGGAGTGAATGGAGAGGACAACTGGAGGTGATGAGAGGTACACTATTAATACAGGCGAACAAGAGAATATTTATGAGTGAATTTGGGAATGTCATCATGGGTGTTAATGGCGACAAAGTTTTTCTGCTTAATAACTGGACAAGCAGAGAGTGGAGCAGTAAAAAGCTTCTGAGCCCTTTCAGAGAAGTATACAAGGCCTCCCTGACAGCTTTCTGTAATTCGCAATGTTATCAAAAATGGCAAAATATGATCATCAAGTGTGGATTTATTTTGATTTTTGCACTTGGAAATCACATTCTCTCCCTTCTAAGCTCACAAAGGAATTTTTTTCTTTTTTTTTAACTAGTTGCACCTTGAGTCACATCATTTATCTTGGCATCCTTACCCTCTGGGTCAACCTGGGAGTAATGAATGCAACATAAATGCTGGGATGTAGACAAAACTCCAGCTTAATCAGTCTTCAACCAGCAAGAATAACTGGAGTGCAATAGAACAAAGAATATTCACTGTTCACAGGGAATAAGAATGTACCTCGTAAACTTTAAAGAGATGATATCTCCTAACACATGTCCTGTCACATCAACCAATGCTCACTTAAGAGCTCAGCATTGTAGAAAAAGATATCTGCCAACTGGTGTTCAGCTGCAAAAACCATCATTGTCCACACAAGTCACAATATAACAGCTCCAATGCCAATGTTTGCAATATTGGATATATTGCAATACTACAGCTCCTGCAGTAAGTAATTTAAAATAGAAACGTACTAGTTTTATGAAGAACAAAGCAGATGAGCAATGAGCTAAACAGCAAGAGGTACTCTTACTGCTGGGAGGCAGCATGGTTTCCCTGAAACCTAACACAGCTGTAGCATAGTTTTTATTCCCTTTTTATGTTAGCTTTGACCAGTCCAATAAAATAACCACTACACCAAAAGTCCCAGAGAAATACTCACAGGTAGAAAACATCAAGGCACGGAATATCCTCTGGGTAAGTTTTATATTTAAAATTAAAAGAGACACATTGACCAACCTCTGGCCAAGTCTCTTCCAGTTCAGTTGCTTTGAAGCTATACTCTACTGGTGCCAAGAGAAGCAGTTTGCCCCGTGTTTTAAATGAGATGCTTACAGCTGAATCCAACAACTTAAATCTTTGAGCAAATTTTAATTTTGCTTTTAACACGGTTATTATAACAGCTCTAGAAAATCCTGAAGTCAAATAACTATCACACCATGCAAAGTGCTGAACAAGTATATACCAAGGAGAGTGTCCATTCTCAACTTCATAAACCCTCAGGTATAAGTTAGAAATTTGTTGTTCTCTTGACAAATATACAATCTGAAACTTGCCTACCGGATCCAGGCCTTCCCAAATATTCTCTGCCAATGAAAGCCCCCACTGCCTATGGGAATGTTGGTTTGTCTTTTCTTTTTCTTTTCTACTCCAACCACTTGTTAAACTGTAGAAATATTTTTAAAGAGAAAGTGTTTATCTCCAGGTACAACTGCAGCTCTCAAGTGCTTCTACACTCACACACAGAGCCCTTCGCCATAATATGCTGCACCTCCCCTCACTGCATACCTGCGCAGCTGAATTGAAGCAGAACAGAGAGATTAAAAGACTAATTTCTGAGTTTTTCTTTTCACCTGGTTACTGAAAGAAACCGGGAAAGGAGCTGGTGAAAACGAGGAATGAAAGTTTGCATGTCAAGGAGTAGATGGGAAAGAACTGTGGGTGAATATCCTTGCCTGTCAGTATATTCGCACTAGCTCTACACTCGCTCCTTGCATCTCATCTCACTCACTCCCTGCAAGTATGAAGTGAGCACACTTGGTAGAAATGGTATGAGATGCCTTCCCTTAAAGCAATGTTCAGATTAACAAGACATGATATTCTCATGTAGAAAATTTAAATATGGGAGATAGGGAAAATTCTGCTTTTCCTGTGAGGGTTTTTTTTGGTGGGGTTTCTTTTTTTGGGAGTAACTCAGTTATGTTATACAAAATGAGCTCATAAAATACATGTGGAAGAACACAGTATGCACGGCTGAGCATCTGTGTGACATTAGATGCCTTTATTTTTTAAAATCAGATAGCAAATCATCCCAATTAAATAATTTAGTATCACCACTATTTCTTTTTTCATTGTTAAGTAATGATTTTATACCACCTTTCCAGGATAAAGAGCTCTCTCAAGACTTTTGAAAGACCTATGTGCTCACACAGCTTCTGCTGACAACCTCACAGTTCCTGGACTATTTACTCTCATAGCAACCCCATTCTCATAACAATCCAATCTTCAATCTGTATTAAGACCTTGTGTAAAGATGGAAATCATATGCAGAAAAGATAAGGACTACATTTGTTAACAATGCATCATGCATCAGAGACTGAGTCAAGTCCATCTGTGGTATCTTTCTCTTCTCCCATTTCTAACCTCTTAGGCAATTAGGCTCAGACACATCCCACCTTAAGTTTAGTCAGCACTTCAGTGACATGCAAAAACTAAAGCCTGCTCATGATAAGCTCTCCCTGCATTCCCTTTCCTACTGTTCTAGCCACCTTGCAGTTAACAATATATATATTTGAGTTTCACTGGTAATTACTCATTACATTCCAAACAAATTGTATGTAAATATGGCAAAGGCAGTCACTGCAGGAAAGAAAAAGTCTACAGTGCCTGGAAATGAGCACCTTTCCTTCATTGTGTGGATGCCACCTATCACTACCAAAAAAGAAAAGAAAAAGAAAAAAATATTTTACTTAGGAATTCCCTGCCTTTTGCTTCGTAGTTGTCCATGACATTTATTTACTGATGTTGATCTCAGTTACCCTTGGTTTGTAGAAGCTGACTTTACCTACTGTTAGTACTACGGGCCATTAATATGCCATTACTGTTCTAAAGTCTCTGTATGAAGAGTCAGTTTTAGCAGCACATGTGTTCTTAAGAACAACGGTACTGGGATGTTTTCAAATATCCTTACTCCTAACCAAGTGGGAAATGAAGAGGAATTACATTTCTGTTGCAGTTTCCAAGACAGTTTTCAAACTTATCCATAGATGTTTTGTGAGCCGGAAAATGTGCTCTGATTTCAAAAACTCTGCATTAAAGTTGATTCAGGAAACATCTTAAGGGCACAATCAAAACAGAATGAAAGGAATGACTGCATCACTGGAGCAATTCAAAAAGTCCTATCGCAGACTATAGGCTACTCTCAAAGTCATAGAAATGTTCACGTTCAGCTAGGTTTGTCTCTTGTTTTGAAAACTATTCGTTGGAAATGGTTCTGACAAAGTCACTGTTGTTACAATATTTGAAAAACAGTAGAAGAGGATTTCTTGACAGAGTACTGAAATGTGCACAGATTTGGCACTGTGAAGCTGCAAAGCAAGCAAAGCTGATTTTTTTAAAAATACATGAATAACTATCCTTATCTTAGAATTCCAGAAATTCAGATTTTTCACTTGGCCTCTGATTTTTCCTATTTATTTTTAATAACCAAAAAAGGCTGCACACATGGAAGACTGGTCCATCCATGGTTATAATCCACAGGTTTTGGCTTTGGACATCTCTAACCCACTGGTTGGAGAGGTAGGTGTGAAAAGCATTTCTGTAATATACTATTTCTTACATGTTTTTCTCAAGCATCTGATTCTGGCCAGAATAAAGAGGCTGAAAAGATGCTAAACAAACCCTTTATCTGACAGAGTATGAACATGGTTATGTTATGTTCTACTGTTATGTTCTTAAAAAGTAATACCTTTGCATTCATTTCACTGGAATGGCACAACACACAGAAAACGATGTATGTACATCCCAACATTCCCCTTGTCCATTTTCTTCCTTCCACATATTTGCTTTAATTTTTTTCGTTTTATTCAGGCCTTTAGCTCTACTCCCACCAGTCTGCTCCTGTTGCTATGCACCAGCTCCTTCTCCTTTGCCGGAGTAACCATTCCCTGGGCTCCCATCACCAGTACAGTGGGGCTCACTGCTGACTCAGCAAGGGAGCTTCTGTTCTTGCAGGCTGCCACTGCCTCTCTTTGCCTCCCTCACTCTTCTTCCTACTCTCAGGCTCACTGCTCTGTGACTTGAACTCCTTTTCGACTCATGGGAGGGGAGATGATGCTTAAAACTACTTAAGAGACAGTTTCACTCCCCAGCATTACTCACCCCAGAGCCAGCCAAGGGAACCAAAGATTTCACAGAAGAGGTGGGGAGTCAAAGAATAACATCTGCAGCTGGCACTGAAATAGATCAGACTCTTACTTACCCTGATTCATCAATTTCCCATAAATTCATCCACCACTCCAGTTTCTTATTTCTTCCTCTACATTTCCAGATACTCTCAGTTACTTCCATTTGTGCACTTCATCTATTATCTCCCTGCAATGTCTCTTCCAATGTCAGAAACCTCACCCTTGTTCCTCTATAAACTCTTCAGCTTCTGCTTCAGCCTTTATATATTGTGCTTAGGGTCTGTGTCTCATTTCTGTCCTTGACTTCTTCACATTAACCCTCTGAAAATGGGGTTTCCTGTACACCTTCCCTCCAACTATGACCAAGCCATAATAAATGTGGGAGGTGAAAAACATATATATATATATATATATATATATATGCAAACCAGATAGCTCTGATAAAGTGAATTGACACAGAATTCATAGCTCACATACCTTGCCATACTTTTGTGCATAGGATCCTGTAAGCAGTGAATGAAAAACTATGATTGTTTCATCCAAATCCCAAACAAATACACGCTGAAAAGAGAATTGGGGAACATATTATCAAACAAATAACATCCAAGTTCCACCACCATCCCACCCAGGGGGGGCTAAAAGTCAGCGGAGTCCTAAAGTTTCATCAACCATTTAACAGAGCAGGTTTTCTCTGACAATCAGCAGTAACAGTGTATCATGCATGGTAAAAACTCAAAAGGAGAGTAACTTTTTTTCTCTTCAACCATTTCTTATTTGTCCTCAAAAAAGCTTTTCACAAAAGCTCTATAACACAGATTTCAGAAACATGATGTGGAGTCAAACGTAATTGTTAAGGATAAACAGTACTTTCAGATACTTCTCTGTGAGTCTTATTGATTCAAGATTCTTCTTTATTTCGACTGTAGAACTAAAATAAGGTCTTGGGTAAAAGTGCCACATATAATGCAGAATTTAAATAATATTATAGAATATAACAGATCATAGTAACTCCATTTCATTAATTCAATTTCACTAGTTTTCATTTTCATTGGTAAATAAAAAACAACAAATAAACATATGAACAACCCCCCAAACAAACAAAACAACAAAACAAACAAAACAAAACAAAAGAAGCCTGAAATGTAAGAAGTTAGTCTCTTCATTGGAAAAGTTAAATCCTTTAAAAAGCAAAAAATATATAAGTTTCTGTACAAAAGCAATGGCATTTACATTCAGTGCCTAGCCCTGAAGCCCACCCTGCTACCCCAGGAGGGGCTGTTTAGCCAGCCAAGTCCCAGCTCTGATTCTGTCTTCTTCTATACCCAGCGCTGGTCAGTGAAGGCAGAGCAGTGGGACTGGCCAGGGCTGCTGGCTCCCAGTGCTGCTCTGGTGGCAGTGGGGGACACACTGCACTGGCAGGCAGCACATCTCTGATGCCAGAGCTGGAGTATTACACACACAGGCACTTCACTTCCTCCTGTCACTGTAAGGCAGTGCACTGCTAACACAGGAGTAATAGGACTATAATTACTCTGTTGCTAAGACATCCCCTGTGCTTGAAATCATCCTCCCGTATATTAGGCATTTCATTGCTAAACACTGATCTTGCACTGTACTATCTACTGATAGAAGCTGCCTCATTGAAATCCGCTGACATTACTTACAAGCACAAGGACAAACTGGTGCCTAAGTACTTAAAAGGCTACACCCGGATGATCCTGCATATTTACATGGTGTCCATAAATATATGCAATTAAGCTGAATGATATATTTGAGATTTCCTACTCAAAAAACTAAAAGAAAATGTCACAATTTTGAGTACAGATTTGTGCTTCTATTGCATGAGGAACTGCAAGACATGCAATCTGAGAGCTAAAAAGACCAAGGCTGAAACACATTTACCTTTCTGCCTAACTTTGTGATGCAGAACAATAAAGTCTCATTGTACATGTACGTTAAAGCAGCTACTAATCTCTGTTGCATTCAGTTAGTGAGACTGAGTCCATGACGTTTTCTAAAATGCTTTAAGCTATTTCTACAGATGCAGTTTTCAGAATTTACTCTTCACAGAAGAAATCTCCACATCAACATTCATCAATTACCAGAGGCATACCTCCAAGTCACTGTCCGGAGGGGGTGATGGATTATTCTTCCGTCCTCTACCCCTAGACTTCGACCCAGAACTCCTACACGTTCTCTCATCGAGATCTTTAATTGGCGTGGAGGGGCTCTGCACTGTGTCAAACTCCCCTGTGAAGTCAACCATTCATGTAAAAATTAGTACTGGATTTTTAAATAATTTTTTTTTCTTTTCTCAAAGTTGGACATGTCTGTATGCAAAGTCAGTGACAAGATACATGTAAAAAAAGCTGTAAAAAATGAGTGTCTTATGTAGATGGAATCAGCAGATGCCACATACTCTTTTGACTTTACCAATGAAACATTCTAAACCCTAGCAGAATAAGATTAAAATGACACATATGCATCTGCAGATACATACACAAATATGCATAAGCCTAGGTAAAATAACATCAAGGATGATGTATTTTAGAAGTCACCGTAATGGCTTCTCAGAACATGAAGTGCCTTTTACTTAGGTAGTTCATTTCCCATGTTTGAAGTTCAGCTAGACTTATTTCCAAGTCCTGCATTACTTTTACCAGAACACCCTCTGACACTCGTCCATGCCCCAGAACAGCCAGGCAGCTTCCTGCTTCATCTCCTCCTCCCATGTCACTACTCTCTAGCAGAATTCACCTCTTTTTTCCTTAGAGGTATGCAGGGAAAGGACAAGACACACAGACAGAAATCACAGCAAGGGTTATTCCTATTAGATATTAGGAAAAATTTCTTCACTGTGAGAGTGTCAGGACCTGGGATGGGTTCCCAGCCAGAGAGGCTGTGCATTCTCCATCCCTGGAGATACTCAAAACTCCACTGGACACAGCTCTGAGCAACATGACCTAAGCTGGCTCATCCATGAGCAGATAGGACCAAAAGACTCACTGAGGTCCCTTCCAACATGAACAACTGAATGTTTCTGTGATCTTCCTCAAGTCATTGACTCTTTGCTTCTCCACAACAAAAAAAAAAAGAAACCAATTATGATCTAGCAGGCTCTAAAAAGAAAAAGGAGACTGAAGGTCTCAGTTGAGTCTGCAGTAACATAATGTAACACAACAGTTGAATTCTTAATCTCTTCCATCATTTGTGTACACCTTGCAGTCAACCACATACAAAAGATACTAAAAATAAATATACTGGAAGATTTACATCTTGACTGGAAACATACTGGTGTATTTTTTGGAAGAAAAAGATTTAAGCCCATGATGTTACATTCCTGAATGGCAGCTCTAGAGCTCCAGACATTGTGATGAAAGTATTACAGATTCAAGGAAAGGGAGAATAAGAAGAAACTTAGTTCCTGAGCCTACTGGTTAGGACATTTACCTGAAGAAGGACACATCTAAGTTCTCTGGGGTACACTTGTTTATTTGACTGATTGATTTAAATGAAGTATAAAGACTTATTTTCATGGCCCAGAATCCACAGCCCTGTATACATGTGGAAGGTGATGAATCCTCCATGAAATAGGAGGAAATCAGATTTGCCTCTCTTGCTTCCACAGAAAGTGCTTCTCTGCTTGCAGAAAAAACAGAGCAAAACTTTCAGACAGCAGCTAAGAAGAGATTTTTCAAAATTGCAATTTGAGAATTTATTCCAGATACCATTTTAGATAGCTCTGTCCTGAATTGGATAAGGATTATATCCGTTCTATAGTAGTTTCTCTGTCAGTTAAAATTCTTATTTGCCAAAAAATGACAGGAAAATTAAGCAGCAATAATAATACCCAACGAAAAATGTTCTCATTGTGGTTTCTCTTGTTCCTACAGAATGAAGGGAGAGAATTCTTGTTGAGTAATCATTTCTATTCCTAGTATGATGTTGATGTCAGTAAGGACACTGCAGGCAGTAAAGCAATCAATAAGATCACGTTATCTTAGTTCTTTCCCCATAAGAAGAACGGCAAAACATATTTTGGTAAATGTAAAAATGTACAAAAAGAAGCTTCTTAACCAGGATCCTTGTGCAGCAAAGACCTACACTGGCTTCAAAAGAAGTTCTGGGTGTGCAGGAGTTCTGCACAAGAATACAGTTTCCTAGATTTTTCAGACAGAGTGGAAAAAATATCCCAAACCAAATCAGAAATGAAAAGGCAAAAATTAAGTGAAGATGGATGTTTACATTCTTACCAGAAAGTCTTCATATTTATAACATTTCAACATTCTAAAATAAAATCAAAACTCATTCTACAGTAATGTATTAAAACATCTGTTCTCAATGACTGTGTTTATAAATAAAATACAAAAAAAGAAGCCCTGTTCTAAATCTTCTCTGAAAGTATCCAACGACCAAAGTAAATAACTTCAATTTTCATTTAGCATTACCCATTACCACTTTCCCCAGGCTTCTGTTTGGGTCAATGCTGTACATGTTTGCATAATTATCTACTAATTAGTATTGTAACTAATCATTGTTCCTTGTAAAATCTAGATATTTAAAACCAACTTTATTTCATTATGCTAATCTCTAAATCAGAATGAGCAGCTGTCTCTTACTTGAATGCAAGGTATGCATCTATTTTAGAACTGCAGAAGTCAGTAGTGCATGTTTTTTCAAACAACTGTAGGCTTAATTGCTTGAATTGCTTGTTACCAACAGCAGGCTAAAGGAGAAACTGCATTCTCTTATCCTCTGCTTTAGAAATGAGGTCAATACTGATAAAACGAAAACTTATTAAAAATTCAGCCATGTAACATAAAGAATAGTGAGAAATTCTAGTATCAAAGAGTACATTACCCTCATGAAGAGTTGCTACTGCAGCTCATATTAGAAGAAATTTTTATGACAATGTTTGAAATTTTTTAGCTTTTCCAAGATTCAACACATGCCTAATAAATATACTACATAACCTCCTGGGCTACAAGCAGCATCAGGGATCCAACAAAACAAGAGGAAACTGTTAAAACCAGAATGTGGAATGACCGCTTTATCACAGATGTCCTCACACACATTCATATACTTGTTCGTATCCAATACGAAGCCCTTCATTCTGTGGAGACCTTGCAGCACTCCAGTTAGAGGATAGGGAGTTACAGCATCACCACTACAAATGGAGGTCATCTTTCATATCCAGAATATTGTTTCCCATCTCTGGTTTGATGTGAACATCCTCTCCTCCTTGTTAAAACACAGTTCTACCACTTAAGCAGGAGAAAAGAGTTTATGCAGTGCATTTAAACCTAATGCCATCTCCCAGAGAATCTGCAAAGGGTGACTTCATTGCGGGTACCAAATTAAGAGAGTAAGCTTTGCTGCATCGCAGGAACCAAACAGGAGCTAATATCCTACAGTGATTCACCTCCCTTAACCCTGGACATATGAAAGTGAGATGCCTTAACATGAAGCTTTTATCCAGGTCTATTTCCTCTGCTAGAGTTTTATTTGCCCTAGATTAAATGTACTTACGTATTCATCAAATGTACTCATATATACTTATCCCCTGAGACCTCATCTGAGGGTTCATCTGAGTTATCCCTATTTGAGATGAAGTGCCCTAGGAGATACTTATTTCTCTCACAAATGTTCTCTGGTAATGAGTGCATTTTGAAAAATCTTAATATAAATCAGGCACAATACAAAATCAGAAGCCTTGAGGCTTGAGCATCACACAGATGTGAGATGGATGAATTTCTGAGCCCCTTCATACTTTCCTTATGGATTGACTTTTGCTACATATTCTTACCTGACACAGCAGACAGAAGATGGCTGCAACGTTACAAGCCTGTTTTTTGTTTGTTTTTGTTTTTTTTTCTGGCTTGTAATGTGTTACTGCTTGTCATGAATAGCAGAAAGAGTAAAGTCTATTTCAATTTTCATCTCATTTTCTTTACTTGGTCAATAAGTAAAATTGTAACTGATATTAACTCTTGATCTGATGGGGATTTATTATGAAACTGAGAAATCCTATATGTTTGGAGGGTACTAGAGGTTTTGATTAGATATTTGAATTAATAGTTAGAAGAGATGGCAGAAGAATAAAGTGCCTTGCTGTGTTTAGTCTTAGGTTTTAGTTGGAGTAAGTCTTAAGGACTTAAGGTCTGTTAGACAGTAAGTGAACATGGTGAGTGCTAAAGATCTGCAGTATCTGAAATGGTCTCCAAGACACTGCACCTCACCAATGGAAACATATTTTTACAGTGACACAGAAGTGCATAGGCATGACATGCATTCACAAAGTGGGCGTTTCACTCTCAGCAGAGGGTCGCATGATCAGTGCAACACTCAACAGAAATAAGGAACAGATGGGGGTGGATTTGTTAAGTTCAGATGAACAACCTACTTAAAAAGAAAGCAAATTCCTATGTTTAAACAATCCACAACCAAGAAAAATCTTTAATGTTTCACAGACGTGAAGCCTTCGTAATTTTTCAACCTGTTCAAATTCTGTAAGATTCCTTTTTTTGCCAATTCTCTTCAATACTAAGGGTGTTCATAATAGATGATAAATTTACACAGCATTTTTAGGAAACAGAGATACATATGGGGGAGGCAATATGGGAAACTGATTTTCTCAAATGAGAATATGAAGGAATAATAAAGAAACAAGAAAAAGTACACAGGACATGCACAATTATTAAAATGCTTCATTCTCTTTTAAAAATACATATGATTTGTATCTGTTATAGATATCCTCAAACTGTTGAAATTTCACTTGATGTTGCATTACCTCTTAACTCTTTCTTCCTAAATTTACATTCTGAGACTACCGAATAATATATTACACTTTTCAGAAAAAATCAAGGGAATGTGTATCTCCCCATAGCTATTCCATACCATATCCATATCCATACCCATATCCATATCCATGTCCATATCCATATCCATATCCATATCCATATCCACAGGATACCACACCACACACCAAACACACACACACATGCACACACTTGAACTTTAAAAATCAGCCTGAGGAAAACATCTGGGTAGGAAAAATTTCAACTCATGCAATTAAAGTTCCAACATTTTTAGTAAATTTAAGCAGCTTATATTAAGTATGAGGCTTTGCTTATACTTTTCTACACAGTGTTACCTTTCCTTTGTACACATTCATTATAATAATAGTCTTTCTACTGTACTTTTCAATAAGATGGTGCAGTTGTTGGAAATATTTATGCAGTAAGTTGATTTTGTGACTAAAGCACAAATTCCTCCCCTATGCAGAGCCTAATCCAAAAGTCAGTTTGTTAGTCTTTTAAGCTGGAACTCAGCTTAAAGAAGACAGAAGTTCTCTATCAACTGGCACCTCAGGAAGTCTTCCATCATCCCCATATCACCACTGGCCAATCAGAGCTCAAATCAGTCCAGCAGTTTAATTACCTAGGTAGCATCATCTCCTCGGATGGTAAGATTGACGGAGAGATAGACAACAGGTTAGCAAAGGCATAGAGTGCCTTCAGAAAGCTTCATAAAAGAGTTTGGCGAAATAAACACTTGAAGAAAAGTACAAAGATCAGTGTTTACAGAGCCATAGTGCTGTCTACTCTCTTATATGGAACTGAATCATGGGTCATCTACTGCCACCACCTGCGTCTCCTAGAACGCTTCCATCAACGCTGTCTCCGTACAATCCTAAACATCCACTGGTCAGATTATGTTACTAATACGTCTGTTCTAGAACAAGCAGCAGTCACAAGCATTGAGGCCATGTTGATGAGAACACAGCTGCGCTGGGCAGGACACGTCTCCAGGATGAAGGACCACCGCCTCCCTAAGATCTTGCTTTATGGTGAACTTGCCACCAACTGCCGCATGAGAGGAGCCCTGAAGAGAAGATACAAGGACTCCCTAAAACAACATCTCAGCCTTGGCCATATTGACCAACATAACTGGTCTACTCTGGCCTCCAATTGGGAGGCCTGGAGACACACCATCTATAACGCTGCTGATGCTTTTGAGAAAGCACGCAGGATCACCCTTGAGGAGAAAAGACAACGCAGAAAGATTTGTGCCTTGCAGAATATACCACCTAAGGAGTCTTTCTGCTGTGCCTTTTGCAACCGGACGTGTCTATCTCGTATTGGCCTTTTTACCCACCAACGCGCTTGTAACAAACGTGGGTAGAGCCCTTCCCAAATCTTCGTTCGCAAAGCCTAGCCGTGAAAAAAGAAAAAAAAAAGTCTTTTTAGAAATGCTCCCAGTCTGTGGGTAAGGGAGACACTACCCGTGCTGCCTGAGTGAAGCCAGTGATGCGAAGAAGCCCTGGAAGACATTGCTCTGAGTGCTGAGGAAAAATGAACTGTCATTACCCACCAGGGGTGTCCTAGGAATACAAGTAATAGGCTACTGTGCTGCGGCTGTGATGTGGTGGCTGTGCACAAGAGGGCAGGGCTGGGCAGGAAAAGGGAGTCTCCTCGTGTCTCCTGAGAATGCTCTTTTTGTAAATTAGACTAGTTCAATATGATTTTTTTTTAAAGAGACTTGTGCTATTAAGCTATTTCTCTATTCTTTGTTACCTAGATTAGTGAATTAACAAGCATAGATGGCTTGTACACATTTGAATAAAGCCCAGTCATGCTCTTGCTAGCATGGCTGGGATATAGTTAAATGAACAATGGTATCTTGTGTTAAATTCTTTACAGTCATACTTCAGAATGTGTAGGTGGAAACAGGAATGTCCCGCTGTCAGTAATAGTGACAACCATCTCAGCCTGAAAACACTTCATTTAAGTAGCAAACATGACAGGTTTCCTAACTATACAGTAAAAAACTTATTTTGGCTGGTTTACATTGTGAAGTTTTCTGAAAGGCATGACTTAAAACGTCGATATTCAAACAAGGCATTCAATCAATGCAAGGTGGATGTGGAAATCCCGTCCTTATACAAGTAGAGAATAAAATAGAAAAATTGTTTTCACCTGAATGTAGATCTGTACCTGGTTGACTAGTCAAGCCAGGGAGAGAGTCCTGTAACTGGTAGGTTGATGATGATGATGAAGTGCCATCAGCCGTGTTGTTTGAGGTCATATATGTACCATATGTTGATGCTGAGTAATACTGTGCATATTGATTTTGGCCAAAAGCTGTGTATGATGGATAATCCTAAAACAGCAAATGCAGCAGAGCACTTAATTAAGTACAGTAATGAATGATTTTTTTCCATTAAGTATTTCTAAATGTACAATCACATGACTTTTTCAAGCATTCTGAAGGCTTGGTTAGCACTTTTTTTAATTTAAGAATATTTAATGTTTTTTAATTTAAGGATATTTGCTAAAAAACTACAGTGAGATTGATGAAATATTTAAATGCCACAAGATGTAACCAGGTTTCCAATGAAATTTTGATCACTTTCCACAGAGAACAGCACTGAACCACAGTGAATGTCATTCAACATAACAGACCTAAGTTAAAGTAACATGCTATAACTGGAGTGATATAAGTCCTCTCATAATTGGCAAATAAAAATTCATACCTGTTGGGAACTACTGAAGTTTGTGGAATTCGAAACAGAATTGTTTGAGTAAATAGTGGACGACGGTGTAAAACTAGAACCTAAGATTAAAAAATTCAATTAATTGTGAGAATTTGCTTGTGAATCAAAATAAAATTCTAAATAGAATACTCCATGTTAAGATGTAAAAGAATCAGAAGAAAAAAACAACTTTTATTTACTGGTAGAATAATAAAATATTGTAATGAAACTTTAACAGAAATGAAATGCTACTTCCATACATACAAGCATATATTTCTCTTCACAACATGAAAGGAAGATATTAGCAGTAAGCCATCTCACTGATCTAGAAAGCATTTTTCAATTTATTGCAGTGTCTCGTCTCTCCTAAAATACTTTTTTCTCTTTTGTTTTCATTTCTAACACTTTGGTGTTACATTCACAAAACAAAATCTTTTCAAAGACTAATGATTGATGTGTTTTTAATCAATCTGTAATGAGACACATCCTTGTTTTCAACATAAATCAGATATTCATATTGTAATTTGTAATATTCAAAAGATTAACCGTTGTACAAGAAGCCTAAAAATTATCTAAATAAAACATGTTGTCAGTGATCAAAGGGTAATAAGTAAATAACTAAATGAATAGTAAATGAAAGAATAAATATGAATTAAGGAGAAATTCTAAAAAATTATGTTAACCCAAATATCAAATTATGTTGTACTCAGAAACATGGAAATAAGGCAAAGTGACTTGTTTATGTTAATAAATATAACAAATGCTTCCAGTCCTGCCATGTAATTTTTTTACCCCACAAAAAAACCCCCAAAAAGGTGTAAACAGGGACTGTATTGCATGACCAGATCCAAACTAACTTATCAAAATGAACACACATATGCATATCAGTAATGGAAAGAAATACTTAGCTTTAAATTTTGGAGTTGGCTACTCACCTGGCATCTGATAAGAGTAGGGTGTTTGGCCTGGCTGTGGGGTCGAAAACCCCGGGCTGTAACTGAGGCACCCACTCTGCAGTGGTGATTGGGTCTGCGAGAGCCCACTTTCTGTCTTGATGCCTGGCAACATTACACCCAAATCTGTATAAGAAATTAATTTTCAACTGATTCTTTAAAATATTTTCTTACAGTCGGGAAAAATAAAACAGAAAGCAAAAACACTCAAGTTGGCAATGCTTTTTATTCTACATAAAGTGAAGTAATAAGAGGCCAAATACCGTAAGTGGGTAAGCTGTAGGGCTGTCCTGTCTGTGAGTAGGCTGTATAGACCGCTGGTTGCTGCATTCCTGAATACTGGGTTTGTCCGGCATAGGCAGACATTGTTTGAGCTGCTGGTGTAGAAAGAATGTGTGGATAGGGCCTAAATATCAGGAAAAATAGCATTACTGTGGCAACAAATACTTTGTATGTTGATTCAAGCAATAAAGTAAAGCAAAAGGTTTAAAGACATCCAAAGGCAGTTCATTATTCTGCCAACTGCTCCTCTTCTGGGATTTGTTCCATCCCCCACTGAAATAAGCTGAAAAACACTCTGTCTCACATTCCCCAAGGCACAGTGAATATTTTGTGCCATCCCATCACTAAAATTTAATTCTTAAGCTACTGTGTCCACTTCGAAGTGGGCCCTGACACTGCTGCACAGCTTTATATGGATTTGACCCCTTTCAGCCAAGATCAGAACGTTTAAATTAGAAAAGTCCCCATGCTTTTTTAAACCAGTGGAGAGAAATTTGGACTAGAAGAATAAAGAAAATACAGAGGTGAATGCTGAAGCTAGTACATTATGTCATCTTTGTAGGTTCTGCTTCAACAGACATCTAGCCTCTAGCTTCAATGAGAGATGGATCATACATATTAAGAGGGGCACAGAAAATATTGACAGCAATACTTTGGTAACCAGATGGGCTTTAAATGTTTGGAAAATATAGGCTAGGGAAACAGAATGGAAACATAAATGGTCTTTATTTATGAATACTAGGGTTTTATAGAGAGATTGAATAAAACCAAGTTTAAAATTTTTGCCCTCTAGAGTTGCAAAAATATACAGAGAAACATTTTTCTTGGATTGTTTTGTAAGTCAAATAAGACTTTATGGACCAAGAGTTGAATAAACACACTCTGTAGAATTATGCTAACTGAAACCTGGCCATTAAAAGCCATGACTAAATTCCAGATTCTAATTTTTAAATTTTTTTTCTTTCTAATTAGTTGAGTACAGTTGGCAGCTTTTACTATCAGAAAAGGATTGCTCATTAATTTATATGCCAAAAAATTGTAACAGTAGATTAAGAAATTCTATTAAATCTTGTAATGTATATGGCCAAGAATATCTAATATAGTTTGCCAAAACCTGTTTTAAGTGGAACGAGGGCTCTTTGTTCAGGCACCTACTTTCCGTATTAATAAATATTGGCTACCATCATACCAGTACAAATTTGGGAAAAAAACCCCCAAAACTTGAAAAAGCCTAATCAGCTACAATGTCAATATTTTCTCTGTATCAAAGTCACACAGGTAGCTGTGTCCTGTATCAAATACATGGAAACAAATAGATGGCATACTGGAATCAAGCACCCTTGTGCACAGCACTGATCATAGGACAAGCAAACTAACAGACTGCCAGCTGCAGTAGTTTCATCTTCTGTGAAATCTTTGTGTTTTTTCCTAATATTTGCACTCCTGGATTCATGTGATTGTCCAAAACCCTGTTTTCCTCAACAAAAAAAAAACCACGAACCCCCCCCCAAACAAACAAACAAAAACAACAAAAAAAGAAAGAAATAAATTTTCTATTCCTATCACCTGATGGCTTAAAAATAATGAGATTAAAAGCTAATCCAATTTATTTAATTTATTTGATTTTTAAATGTTATGATAATGGAGAGGGATGAGGAAAGGCTGGTTCATGATGGTAGAATGTTTGGAAATGTTTGGCAACGATGGCCCTGGGAGGGTCAGGGACAGGGCTACCCCCAGAATGCAACTCGCACATGCAATTGTGATTTCTACACATAAACTGACTTCTTCAAAATATTTCTGCATATATTGCTAGTACTGTTAATATGCTGATGTCCAATAACATAATAGTCTGATTTTTTCCTTCTATTGTGTGCAGATGTTCAAGGCTATTTCTTGTGCAGCAATACTGCGCAAAGCAGGATCTTACTCTGCAGACACATGAGGAAAAAAAAGTTGGAGCCAGTACTGTGGCTTAAGAATTTTCCTCTTTCTCTGTTTCTTCTGCTGATGAACACTTGTTTGCAACAAACCACAGAACTGCCCACAGCCAAGGTCAATTCCCTATAAAAGACTAGAAGAGGTGCAGACACTAACTTGGACGGATATATTTGCGGAGAGTACTGGTGCGCCGATCTTGGACTGTAGCCACTGCTTGTTATTACTGCAAAACAGAAAACAAGAGTACAGCAGTTAGAAACACCATGAGACCGATACATCCAAACAGCAGCATTAACAGAGAAGCTTATTGAAATGCACAGCTTTTCAAGGAAGCAGATGTCCCCTGAACTGCAACATCTCAATAAAAAATTAAAAAACTGTAAATCATTCATTGCTGTGCGGAACCCCCTAGTTAGCATGGAGGTGTTGTGCTTTTTTAGCTTGAATGACACATTTCTGAGTATACTGCAGAGGCATGTATTTCATACATCATCTGTGATCCACACACCATAGATCGTTCAAATTTGCAAGCTGCATTAAAAGGAATAGTTAAAAAGAAGCTTGTGATTTAACACATGGTATTGAGATAACATACACATACCTTTAAAGGCTCACATTAACAAGTTCAATTTTAATACTGGATGGAAAAGCATGTTTTATATGGTTGTTGCTAATTTTAGTCAGCTTAGGAAGACACTGGGCTGATCACAAGAAAGCAAATATAATTCTTTATAGACAGGCAGATTAGAATACATCCGCTAACACCAATATTTTTACTGTGAAGTATGGATAAACAGTCTTGTTCAGTAGCCATCCAAATTGTGTATGTCTATACTATTCACAGCTGCGTTCTTCCAAGAAAGCTAAGAGAACAATAGTCATAACCAATTAAAATTTCATTCAGAAGCGATGCTCACACTGGATTAATTCCAAGTGTTTGGAAGTTTCTCTTTCCCTTAGCCATCTGTCTTGACTAAGACAGATGTATTCCAAATATATGTACTCTAAAGTGTTGAACCAATCCCTTCAGAGCAAATCCATACTGGGCAAACATACAGAGTGTCTTTATTAGGCCATCTGCTGTTCATTCACTTTTCAAAAGATTAAAGTAGTACACAACGAAGCACTGGAATTTCTTTAGTCTAATCAATCATAGTTGTACTTCAAAGTGTACCCTCTTCCTGAGTTATTCGTAATGGTAGTAGAAATGAACATTCAGAATTATATAAGTGACAAATAGTTTTAGGTTCCTAACTATTTTATGAAACATGATATATTTCTACATCCAGGCCTAATTAACGTCTTTCAGATCTATTGCTGTGAACATATGCAGAGCTTGATATTTTTAAAGCTAGTTTAAATGCATTTAGAATGTATAGGACTTAAAAGGAAAATACAGTAGAAGAAAAACAATTAACTTCTTTTTAAAATGTGCAGTTGAGTATGGCTTGAAAGTGAAGAACTGGATAATAACTTTTAAAGCATGTGCCATCAGATTTCACGAAAGAGTTGCTGTTTGAAAAGGTATTGACAGTTTGCCCATGATGGAAATCTGCTAAATTTCATTTTGTGTGGTTCTTTTTTTTTTTTGAGAATGCCTTTCCATAGTTTAAGCTCAACTCACAGAGTAATCCGCTACATGTGCAGGCAGTTATTCCCAGAGTTAGACAAACCTATAGCTGTATCTATCAACATAATCAGTCCATAGAACTCTAAAGGATACTCATAGTTATTTAAGGCTCAAAGAGCAATTACTCTTCCCTTTTGTATCTCTGTGACCTTTCTAAAGACAAGCAATAGCTAATAGAGTGACCTTGGTGATTCTCAGGGCAAGGAACCTTTGTGATCCATTACTGGCTTATTGGATCACTTTTGCCCATACTGCTCCACTTTTTGTCTGATCATTTGCTGTATAAGAGTTCACCTGAATAATCAGTTTGGTTAAAGCACATTTACCATGCCACCACACCCTATGTAAACTACAAAAGAAATTAATTACTATTAATTTAGATCACTTGAGCTATCAAAACCTAATGTTTTTAAAAAAAAATCTGTCCCACCTGCTTTTTTTTTTCTTTCTGCATATGTCTTATTTTAAAAATTCAGAGAAGAAAATAAAATACTTTTGGAATATGTCTGGTTTTAAATTTCCTTTTCTTTCTTTTTTCCAATTTTCCCAATGATACAGCCAGTTGTAAGGAAGAAAAAGAGGCAAGACTAAAAAAATCTGTATTTTTCACTCTTTCTCTGTAGTTTGTCCCAGCAATTTGTGTACTACATTTTACACTATAAGGTGTTTGAGAAACACAGGGTGTAAGGCCTACCATAAGAGAACATTATGACTGAGTGGAGTCTGTGGACTTCATCTGTATCTCATAGATCAAAATGGTAACTCTAAGGGTTATCAAACTTAAACAGCTTTGACTACCTCCTAACCCTACTTCTGAGGACTGGTGGAAATGGAGGAGATGGTGGAGGCTGGTTGCTGTGGGTTTTGTAACTGTGCCACTGTAAATAGCCATTTAAATGAACGGGGCTAAATGCTCTTTTGTGTTACTTATATTAAAACAACAAAAACCCACCAAAATTGTTTCCTCTCTGAAAAAGTCAATTATTCCTAAGCTTTTACTATTTGAATTTATCAGAGGAATGTTCTTCAGGGCAGGTATAAGACCCTTGATCTCTCCAGTTCCCCTACGGCACTGAGGGCATATTCCACTCCCCAGTAGCATTGTTTCACAGAGGGGACGAGAAGGCTGACAGCCAGCCCTTACCAGTTACTCTCTCAGATCAGCTGGCCAAGGTGACTGTGGGGGATTTAAATGACCATTAACTGTTTTAATAACATGTCTTGGGTTCAGTATATTAACACAGGTTGGAGTTTTGTATTTTTTCATTACACATCTGGAAAATTCCATGTAAAAAAGTTAGATTAAAAGGACCTCACTTAAGTAACATCACAATCTCTATGCACAAGTCAACCAAATGTAGGTTAAACAGCAGTTAAACAGACATTTCCTAACTTCACCTTTATAGCCTTCAGAAACTGTTTTCTATATCCTTTTTTTTTTGTGTAATAAATCCTAAGTAAAAAGGATAATGAGATCAACAAGTATCTTTCTCTCCATTCCATTAAAATAACAGTTCTTAAATTAAATCCACTATTGTAAGCAATATATACACAAGAATGCATGCACTCACAGTACAGCAGCTGCAACAAATTCACAGTGTATGAAAATCTCAGTTCAAGGCTGTGCACCTCCCCATATCCTGTGAATGCTACCCCGGTGGGAGTCTGCTGAAGAACCACAAAGCTTCAAACCAAGTACACTGATATTAATTACCAACTGTTCTTCTTTGAAGAAAAAGGAAGAGGAAGGGGGATGCACAGTGCGATTCCTCATCTGGCTAACCCATGCTAAGAGGGTTGGCATGGATTCTCCCAGGGGCAGCTCTGCAGGACAGGGGAATTGCAGCCCTGATTTTGAGCTGCAACACCTGAACTGTAGCCCTGAGCAGGAGCATGCCCAGTCCCAATGGCCCGGCCAAGGCCACTAGGGCAACTGTCACTCTAACTTCAAGAGACCTACACACTTTATCTTTCTGACTTTTCAATCAACAGAATCACAGTTTTCTGTGGAGTCTAATCTGTCTCTCCCACCCTATACCTCACACACACTGTTTGACCAACACTTTCTGTGTTACAGCTGGTCATTAGGGACAGAGCTGACTACTTTACACCCCACAGGGCTTGTTCAGCTTCTGGTCAGTTCCAGGACAAGTCACATGTTTTGACTGCCCTTGGAGCATGAAAATCAATTTTAACGGGTAGAGCATTTGAAAGAGAGGATTTCTGCATGGTAGAGTCTCAGCTACAGGAGTTCTCTTTTCATCCATGTCTGATGTCATAAAATATTTAAGAATACACCTAAATCCTTTCCTACTCAACGAAGAACACTTGAGTGCTTCTGACCAATGCTTGTGCAAGACAAAGTAGATAACAGCGGCCTATGTGTCTGTGCATCCTCACGAAATGAGCGCACAGGTCCTCTGAGAGCTGCAGGAAAGTACCAGCATTATCACTTTGTCACAGTTGGGAATAACACACGTATGTACCTGATTGTAAGGAAAAAACAAACTGTTCAGTGTTGGGCTTTGTTATGCATTTTTTTCAGTTGCAGTTGGCTCATCTGAAATGACATATGCCTACTACTCAGTATTTACTGTCTTTGGCAACCCATTAAACTTCTCAAATAACCAGTTAGGTTAAAGAATCAGGAGAAATACTGTTTTTGTTGAGTTTTTATTGTTCTTTAACACTTCTCCCACAAACCTAGAGTCAATGAAATTGTCCAATTTGCAAGTACCAATAAAAGGCAAGTGTGAAAGTAAAGCATTCAATCTTTATGAAAGGCTCGGTGCATTGTGAAGGTAGATCTGCGCCTCGCTCTGATGATGAAGACTGCACGTCACCCAGACAGGCAGACTATCAATTTCCCACTGTGAATGACTGTACTCATTTAATGCTTGAGCTTGCGGACTAAATTGAGAATCAGGTTCATATTTCTTTTGAGTATGCAGGTGGCTAACAGGCAAAAAAGGACTGTGCAAGGCTCAAATTCCTGTCTTTTTTTTTTTTTTTTGGAGGCACCAACTTTCCAAACATCCAAAGTGTAGAGATCTCAGCACTTCTTTGAAGTCAGGGGAAGCTGATGGCTGAGTGACACCTGGGAAAATCAGGCTGTTACTTAACTATCTAAACTCGAACTGGAGGCTGCAATTTTTAGTACCCCAATGTTGCCTTAGCCATGTTTTACACATGGAATACAACTCAGCTGCCTTACATACATGGCAGAAGCTGATAAAATTTCACTGACAATGACAAAATCATATATGTGGTTGGACATTTTATAATCTGTAATAATTAGTAATAAAATCCTAGCATTGAGTAACAAAAGAGTGAAAAAGAAAAGCTAAATTTTAGTCAAGATTATTTGATATTTTATGGAACTTAGACTTCGTTGTGGTTGATGTGGTTCCTTTCAGTCTAATTATAATGGAGACAATGTTTTCATTTTTTCTAATCAGAAATAGTATACACTTGCTTTAAATCTCACTAATGACCTTTTCTTCAGGCATTATATTTGTTATAAATATTTTTTTGAATAATCAACTTTGGAGTATAACTGATGCCTACAATTCCAGAAACATACACTCATTTTAAAACAAATTTAATTACACAGAAACACTGTGATTTCCAAAATATTTTATATATGGTTTGACTACCTAAGTCTATCAAAGTAATAGTAGCATCAATGTGAGTGGCAATTCCTGGCTTCATGGACATTTCAGTCGAGCATTACTGAACTGGTATTTTCAGATGTAAAATTTACGCTCCCTCCTCTCCTTGTTAATATTATTATTAGCAGGATTCAACTTAATGATTAGAAGGCAGACTATCTGTACTTTTCCACAGTTCATCACATTTTAGTAATTTATAGGGATATACTTAAAAACTGCTGTTTGTTTGATTTTTTTAAGAAGTAATTGAAACATGATTATTTGAAGTAAAATATAAACTTTATTTTCATGGAAAGAAAGTAGCTCACTGTAATGGAAAGAAAGTAATTTATGGTAATCTGGTCAGCATTTGTACTAACACACTGCTCACAGGAGTAAAACAATTAGCAATGAGATATAACCCTTAAGATTTAAAATTTTACAAATTAGCATGGCTGTTACAAATACAATCCATTTTTCCTCCCAAGATCATACACGACTAACCCTGAGAAAAAACTCTACAGTACTATAATAACAGTATTGCTAAAAGATTTTTGCATACAACAATCGTCTTAGGAATCATGAAAGCTTCTTTAAGATCCCACCTCATGTAAATTGCAGAACTGCACTTACAAAAATGAAAAAGTTATTATTTTTATTATTATTAGGTCTTAAAATGTTACTTTATTGTAGCTTTTTAAAAATTGCTTCCATGCAGTTCAATAGTGAATGTTATTAAATGCTACAATAATGTGCATCTAACAAAACGTGATCTTATTATGGCTTTACCTGACCCAGTAAAAGTGTCAAGCGATCCATCTCCAGTTGTTGTTGTTGTTTCACTGTTGTTCATGGGTTCTGTTTTGACTGCAAGAAGAGACACTACATAGAAGAATAAGTAGACATGAGATTTTACTTCTAAATTTGTACTGGAGTCCTCATGCCAGTCGCACTAGTGGTAGTCCAGCTAGAACAAGCATGCGTGCAACAGCTTTAGCCTTTGCTCTATCACTGAATTGAGACAATCTACACTAGCTCTGTCTGGAATGGACATGCATCTACATAGCTTTTTATCTGCCTATTTGTCTAGCTATTGGTTTTAGCAATTGGAATATCTTCTGGGGAGATTTCAACCTACATTTAATTGATTCTAACAATTCCCTAAGAGTAGCAGAGAGGAAGGAAACATTAGCTGTCAAGGGATGTAGCACATAACAAAAATAGTTTTGCCTGACAAGTAAAACAATTATAATATGGTTTCATGCTCATATAGAAGCAAATTACTTTCACAGTGCCAGCATGTTGCCTTTCCCCTTCCCCTTTTACAGAGTCTGTGGGGGCCTTTTTGAGCTAGGTTACCAGCAAGCAATTTTCCATAAAGGAAGAGAGAAGTTTGAAAGAAAAAAAAGCAAAAGAACTAGAGTAGGACACAAAAGGCAGCCACAAGTCAGTTTCTAAGTCAGAGGTTACCAAACATTTGGGTCCACTCTAAACTCAAGTTACTTTTTACAGATCATCATGCAGTCTTAACATCCAAGTTATAACTGAAAGCATCACAGAGGCAATACAGATTTTATAGTTAATATGTTACCTGGACAGAACATTTGGCATGGACTTTTGTAATGGAGTTTGGGAACCACCACATCTAATTGATGTGGTAAGAAACAGCAGTACAGAATACACTGCAGCTTTTAATAGCTGTCTGACTGACAAATATGGAAACCCTCGACATATTATCATAATTTCTTTGTGAAGGTCAATTAGGGTTGGGCATGAACATTCATCACATATATATCAGCAACATGCTTACAGATATCACAGGACTGGTAGGTGCCCAGGGGCACAGAGAGAAGTTACAATGAGGACCTGCACAGGCTACTGCCACAGTTGTATGCCAGGTATTGAAATTCCGAGTACACAGCCCGGGATTTGTGAAGAAGCCTTTGCTGTGACAGCTGGGCTGGCAGAGCCCCCTCAGCAGGTCTAACACATGCCAAGGAAAGGTGTTTTCTGCCAGTTGGTTACCTGATGCCTCTGAGGGGTATCAGCTAAGCTGACCAAAGCTCTCATCTGTCAACATCACTGCATCCATGTTTGACTTCACTGGCAGCGGTATGGGAAAGGCGAGAATTTCATGTTCTGAGCTGGCAACATATTTAAAAACTATGGCTCAGATTCAAGTCACCTAACTTAGGCATATAAAAGGTGCCTGCTAATCTCCCTTCATGTTTAGTTGACACACAGGGGTGCTTCCAGAGGTTGATTCAGTCCAAGAACAGCATGAGCTGCCCTCAAGTTCACCATCCCTCTTACAGTCTGTAGAGGAAAAGGTAGTGGATGAGCTAAATAAAGGATTTTGTTTTCTCATGGGGAGAAGGTCCAGAACCTGCAGATCCATTCTGCTATTCTTGCTTGTGTCTGTGAGCACAGCAAGCTGTTCATCAGGAACTGCACAGCCTGCTGTGATGAGCCCCGCATGAGTTACCTCTCCTACAAAATCACATCCCATTTCCAGTCACACTGCTTAATGGACCTTACTTCAGTAAGTCATATGGGATGCTACTGACATCTACAACTGTACAACTGACCTACACCTGTTTAGATCAAGCAGACGAATTGGGACATATTTGTCCCTGAGACAGGGAGAGTGCCCCGCCGCATTGCCGGTGCCCTAGTGCCAATCAAACTAAGTAACATCTTCTTGCTTAAGTTGTATCTTTAAAAAATATTTGAATGCTTGTCTCTTGACAGTAAACTTCTTTTCATTACTGTTTCTCTTTAGTAAAACTACCACACTCATATAGTCTCCCTGCAAGCAGGAGGATATTAACTCAATATGGCATCATCAGGGAAGAATTATAGCCACATTTTTTCAAGCTGTTGTGCGCTCATTCTCATTCTGCTAGCTATTATTTTCTCATTAAGAAAAAAAAAAAAAAAAAAGCTGTGACAAAATTACCCAAAATGAACGAAGTCATTCATAAGAGTAATCAATCATTCCCATTTCTATATTTATATGAGAAAGATGTGATTTTATTTTTGTCAGATCAATTAAACACAAATCAAGAAAAAGCTGAAGTGTCATTTGTCACAAAATGATTTCCTCCATTGAACCTCTCAGTCATATGGAACATGTATGGTTGCCTGAAGCATGAAAAGTAATTAAATTTATTTTCTGATTACTACGTACGGATGCCTCCACGTACTTCTACAAAGTGTGGACACCCACCCACATGAAAAAAAGTACTTTTTAGTACCTTTATCTCTTTCTATTCAAGATGGGCACTATTGCCCATACCAAGCTACAAACCTATGTTGAGTACTGCATCTAGAAAGACAGTATGTGTTTAACTGTTATATTTAACAAAAACTTCAGTAATGAATTTAAATGTTTACTTTAGAATTGTGTCTAGTTCTGGTTTATGCCAGCTGCAGTGCACTTCCATCAGCACCAAGAGGCACCATCTATTTTCTGTCCCTGTCAAGCGGCAAAGAATCAAAACCAAAAAACTCTCTCCTGCACTTAACTTGAGGAAAAACATTATATTGGTACTGTTTTGTTGAAAAATACATGTAGAAAGTATTTTTATATGCGCTTGATTTTAACCAGTTCTACTTTGTTGCATTCAGATTTTATGACAGTAAGGAATTCGTCAAGGTGCTTCCTCAGTGTAGCTAGAGATTTTGACTACTACCTATTTTTCTTTATGTTGTATGTCATTAAACTAAGAAAGAAAAAAGCACAAAGCTAACTTAGAAAAAAAATAATTCTAACATCAGTTCAAAAAACCAGGAACATTTAAAGCTGAAACCAAAATAAAAGCTGACACCAATGAAAAACACAGAATCATCCCTCAGTTTCCCACATGAGATAAAGCATGGTTCTGATACTACTATGGTAACTGTCCTAGACATAATGCAGACACTATGAGTTTTAACCAGCATTTTGGATGAATACTTTAAAGACTATACATTTAATATCCTATTTTTAAAGTGTTGATTAGTTTTAGTTTGGTTTTTTTGGTTTTTCTGGTGGTTTTTTTTTGCATATTGAAACTGTAAAAATAAAATGAAAAGCAATCTCTAACTGGAAATACATTTCAGTGCTGCTAACAGTGAAGACTGCATGTGTCCTGGTTTTGGCTGGGATAGAGCAAGTGGCTCTGTGGGGCTTAGTTGCCAGCTGGGCTAAAACCATGATGTGCTAATAGGGTAGAGCTAACACCATCATCAGGTGCAGGGGCATATGATGTACAAGGAGATAGAAGAAGCTGGGTTTTTTCTGTCCTAGGAAGAGGGGGCTGAGGTGAGAGCTAATTGCTGCCTGCAGCTATTAGGAAGGTTCAAAGATGACAAAGGCACACTCATCTCAAAAGGTGCCCTGGGAAACAACAGGTAGAAACAGACACAAGTTGTACTAAGGGAAAAATCCAATTAGATGTAAGAGGAAAATTCTTTGCCATGAGCATAATCAAGCCATGGGACAGGTGCCTAGAGAGGCTGTGGCACCTACTCCTTGGAGACACTCAACACTCAACTAGACACTGCCTTGAGCAACAGGATCTAACAGCAAAGTTGGCCCTGCTCCGAGCAGTGTTTGGCCCAACTGACCTCCAGGAATCTCATCCAAACTTCATTATTCTAAGACTAATTCAGAATACTGCTCCCAGTAGGCAACAGCTTCTATAATATACAGTCTTTACTTGAAGAAAGGACTTAGTAGACCAAAATTACTACTAATCTGATGACCTCTTTTTTTTCCTCTAAAGAGTCCCTCTATGTTAAGAACTGAAAATGAATGCAGAGTTTTAGGGGCAAGAGGTGCTACTATTATGCATGAAGCAGGACAAGCAAGTGGAATAGCTGTGATAGCAATATAAGTCTGATTAAAATATTAGTACTTAAATTATTACTTTCCGCATTCATCTGAACATGCTGAACAGTTAACTGAGGTGACAGACTAAGTTATTAGCTCAGTCCTTCCTTAAACTTAACTTCTTCTAATTGAGCAGGAACATTCACATGGAATGAGTTATTCTAGTGCAAATGATCTTTTGTACTCAAGTCAATTTTTTTCCGGTAAATTTTCTGTGGGTGTGTTTTACAAAAGGCAAGCTAATTCAGAGGGGTTTTTAAAAGGAAAGGTTCTGAGATCTTCCTAACTTTAGTCCAAAACTGCACAACTTAAGCACCTTTGTAATGACTTGTAGAGAAACGCAGTGATGCACATTTACAGATATGATTAATCCTGTATGTACTGCAAGTGTCACATACAGAATTATTATTAATCATTACAACTCATGACAATTACTAATTCATGTCGGTAAACTCATAAATGACAACAACAGCTTGGAAAATTTGGCCAAATGTTTGTAAAGTTGCAAGTTACATGTAGTAGCACACCAGACATAAGCTTTGATTAATAATTAGAATTGTAGTAGAATAGTAACGATAATGTCAACCAATAATGCTCAGGTAATCATGCAATGCTGTACTTAAAAACAAAAGAAAAGAAAAGAAAAGGGGCATTCTGTGAAAATTCCATTGTCTGACTTCCACTAATGTTGACTACTGGCTATTCCCAGCAATGTTGAACACCACGAGACAATCCCAGCCTCTCAGAGCATGTAGACAGTTAAGCTAATTATAAGTGGGTTAAGTTCTCCTTGCTCATCAAATTACTTTCAAAGCATTGTAAGATAACTATTTATTGCAACTTCCTACCAGTTTCCTGGCTGGGGGAAAAGCCTCTTAGTAGGGGTAGGAAAAAAAGGACTGGGAAGAAAACCCCAGGAGAATGTTCAAACTGCATAACAAAAGAACAGAGCAAACCAAGAGAGATGTCACACAGCAGTCACAGAGACACACCACCACACACCACCACACACATGCACTGTACCAGGGTCTCTCATACTTGTTGCAGAGGAGGGAGTACTACAACTCAGCAACCAGTCCGCAGTATTTAACACAGTCATGTTGTCTCCTGAGAACAGGAATGGTATAACAGTTCATTCTCCCAATGTCTGTTCAGTGTCCCTGAGAAGTCCTCAAGGCAATTAAGTGCCTTAAGTCTTTTAACTGCACTGTATTGTTTTTATGGGTATTATTTTAACTGGTTTATTTATGCATGTATAATATAGAGGCATCTAGTTATCAGAGTTCTTTAATGGTATGTTTGAAGTTTTCTCTTTTTTGCTGGAATAAGGATTTTATTTAAAAATGTGGTTCAGCCCTTCTTTGCAGAGTTCTGTTACCCTCACAAGCACATACACTTTTTACTCACACTGACAGACTTTTTTTAAAATTGGGATAAGTGAATAAAATGCTCTACATTGTGGTCAGAAAGAACAAACTAAAAAAAAATTTTCTTAGTGTAAATTGTTAAAATAGATAGCAATGTATAAACTCTAAAAAAGAAGGCTGAAACTCTAGCGTGACATCCATGGTGTCATTTTCATGGACTGCACCTCAGAATATGGTACTCTGCCTCCCACTGCTCCAATTCAGCTATGGTATAACCGATTATCAGAAAGTATTGGAACATCTGTGTTGTAGCTGCATGATAGTGCTGTCCCTACAGTAACACTTACAGCAGTAATAACCAGCTACTTCTGAGGAAAATGTAACAATCTCTTTATGAAAAACTTCCATTACCTCCCAAGAAATGGAATTCATCATGAAAAAAAATTACCTAAGCCTAATTTTGATGTACTTCTTTTGACAGTGATTTTAATTTAACCTAACTACCTATGTAGTTCAGGGTGTAAGAGTAAATTATTATTCATCAATGAAAAATGACACAGAAAGTGTAATTTATTTCAAGTTACCAACAGGTATAAGCAAGCCTTTAACACTGTGTTCAAGTCAACCATTCCTAATCTTTCGTTTCACCTTTGCAACTTGTTTCAGTTCTGCCTCTTACTTCAGTTGGTGCAAACTGAAGAAGTGGTTAGAATTAGAGATTTATACTTTTATGACTGCCATTTTTTCATAATTCTTGCTGGGTACTTATAAATGGGTATATATCATTCTTGAAATTATGCTAAAAAATGTATATGACTAAAAACTAGCCAAACCTTTGTATATGTCAGCAGTGTCTTATACTTACCTCCTGTTCCATTTGTTGTAACTGATGTGCTACTAAGACTAGACTTATCCAGTTTGGAACTACCTGGTGCATCACTACTTCCAACAAGATTATGAGGACTGGCTAGATCCTGCATTTCCATAGACCTGTTAAAAAAGAAGATGACAGTATTATGGACTATCATTACTAGAGTATTACTATTATCTGCTTTTTCTTTAATAACTTTTTTTTATATGGAGAGTTTGCAATGCAGTCAGATTAATAAATTAATACAGGTTCCTTTGACATCTTCTTTGCTTTTTACCAAACCTAGGAAAGTAGCTAATAATTTTATATGAACAGCAACAATGCCAGTATTTTTCTCTTTTCCTTTAGGTATTATGAAGTGACATAGGCTTATGAAACTGCTCAAAGAGCTTGTAAAAGATGTGCATGAGGTACTGCATATATATGGATGGACAGAGGGAGAGATGAATTGACAAATTCAGGTAATAGGTACTTCTTAGAAGAAAATAGAGAAATTTGGTGAAACGTCAGTCATTACAGAAAGTCAAAATAGGAACTTCTGCCTCCTGCTATCTGTATTCCAACCACCAGCAGTCACTGCATCCACACTAAATCACAGGTACAGGCCATACAAGCGAATGAATAGAACTTTCATGTACATCTGGAAGATTCTTCACTCTTAGAAATATGTATATTCTTATTAGATCACTTATTCTTGCTTTGTTCTGAGCAATTTCTAGGAAGCTTGCAAAATTTCAAGTGGATTAGATTGCAATGGATTCCAGCATCACAGTTACACTGGGGGCCTGTAGATGGCTTTAAAGCAGTGATAACAGATTTGCCTTTTGCAGACAAAGCAGACAAAGAACATTTCTTGTCAAACCAGTAATTGCAATCCAATTTGCAGTGTATGTTCACTTATTCCTTGCTTCATTTATAAATTAGACAGATTTTTTCCCCCAAAGAAACATTTTTGCTATATATAAGCAAAATTGCCAGCCCATCTGCAACAGGAGAACCATTTACCATATGTATACTGCAAAGGCCAACAGGAAGATTGTCTTACAGAGCTGTAAAAGATAAATTACATTGTACAAGGTTGAGATGGCTAGGAAAGAGATGAACAGTTGGGATAGTTCAGTAAGAACAATGGTTCTTGTATATTCATATTCTGACCAGGACAATCAGTGGCAAATTGTTAAGGCAACAGCCAGCATCTTCAGTATTTATTCCAAGTTTCACTTTGAAATTACCTATATTCTGTGCTCCCACACATCCCCCTCTGTGGGGGAAAAAACCCAAACAAAACGCCACTACCTTTCCATCAAATATGAGTGTGCTATCTGAACCTACATTTCTTCCCTCCAGAGAATGAAATTATCTCCCATTTTGTGCTCCTAATTCTGCTGATCTCCTGGATGCTTCAGCCTCCCTCACATCACGTTCATTTAACCCAAGATATAGATTCAGAGCCTTCATGTACTGAATATGCTCAAGAAAATGTAGGAAATACTACATCTCAACTGGGAAAATGAACAAAGGCCTTACCCAAAGGCACATGAAGTAAAGAATCTCATTTACTCAAGTAAATGCCTATGTCAACCACGATATGCACTGATACGCCGCTGGCAGGATAGCCTTCCCAGCAGCAGTCTGGATGAGCAGGGAAAAACTGATCTTGTTGGAGGCCATGCATCAGCAGGTAAGAATTTTACAGCCATATTCAAGGAAATGCCAAGGCATAAACTGAGATTTGAACTGCATTGAACCCAATTTCTTCATCTAGTTGTATATACATTTCTACACATCTGTCAGCAGTGAATTATATTTATTGTCTACTGGAAATGTGATCAGTGTTAGATGAAATAAAATGAACTCAAGTTGTTTACAAGTCTGTCAATTTTTGTTTAGTAGTTTCGGTACAAGGATAGCAGCTAAAGGTTAAAAAAATTCCGTGAGTTTCCATCTTGTATGTATTTAAGGGAGCAGAAGAATGCTAAATGAAATAAACAATGCATGTTTCATTGCATATACAGTGTAATGCTCCCCACGTGTTCACTTAGCAGTTTTAAATGCCATGATTTCCTGTTGAAGCATGATCAGCCCACAGATACCTAATGGGCAGTTCCAGCTTAGAAAGTTCACATCTGATTTTTTTTTCTTGGTCAGCAGGAAAAAATTATAATAATTTCTTTTCAGACAGGCATATATCATCACCACAGATGCAAATACTTCAGCAGTATTTGATAAGCAAAATTACTGGTTTATGCAGCTAGTGTATATAAGAAATATCCATCTTAAGCACTTTTTACACTCAAATGAATCAGGTTTTTCTTAATCAAATCAGACTTTCTTAATCAGAATGCTAAGTCCAGTGACTCTCATTTGCTTGGCAAAGAATATAAACCATCAAACTTTGTAAAAGGAATAGTTTTTGTTCCAAGCCAGTATGAAACCTTCTGTGCAGAAAAGTAATCTTATCATCCTAATTTGTTTTCTATAACAAATGGTATCCCAGCCCACAGACATGGCAAGTTAAATTAACTAAAACTATTTTAGAAGTAGCGCATTCACAGACATTTTCTCTGTATGAGTAAAACCCATCTTGCACTTATTGGTAGTCTATTAAGAATAAAAAGAATATCCAAAGCAATAAAAAGTTTCACAGAACCATGTGTATATTCTACTTATCCTAGGTGCTCCATCCTGTGTGAGCAAGTACAGGGATTACTTTAATATATCCCTATGTGATTTACTTATTGAAGTACACTACTTTCTGTGTAACACATGTCATTCAATTCACCTTTCTGGATGCATTTAGTTTACCTTTAGCCTAAAAAATTCTCAGGAAGATGTAACAGACTTACTAAAATCTTACCTTTCAGTGAATGGAGGATTCAGGAAAAATGCCTAGCAAAAGGGATGAAATAATTCCAACATCTTGAATTCATTTTGTCAAACTAAATGTTTATCAGAGTACTGCTTTCACTGACTTAATCAGAAGCAGGTTCAGGTTCAGTATGTGCTTTCATGCACTAAAAAAAAGTTTAAAAGGGAGATCTCTGAAAGACCAATTAATACTTTTAAGTTTATGTAGCTATTTATTAAAGAATGTTTTTCAGTAAATGCAATGTATTTCAATTCAGACATAATAAAGTCTATTGATAAAGCTGCTTAAAATACTACACTGTACAACATTATTTTACATATTTTGCTTCTCTGCCAGGCACATAACTGTTTGTGCTTTAGTTTTCCCCCTCCTGCATTGTGTCAGACCTCTTTTTAGAATAATTATGTAAAATGCTAAATTGTATAAAAAGATAAATTTTGGAAGGAAACACACTACTTGGTAAGAAGATGTTTTAATTATCTCTTGACTGTTTGAAGAAGGTTTGCATGATTGCCAGCTCCTGAGCAAAAACTCAAAACCTGGCAAGATGAATTTGTCTTTTATTCTGCTTTGGCTACGCTTAAAGTCTTTGAAAATTGTTATTTGCACATGCTTAGTGGATCATTTCAGAGGCTTACTGGAAAAGTCTATAAAACATCCCATTTCAAAAAAGTCTCCTAGTTCTCAGTGGGCTTTAACTCCAACCTGTGGACAACCCTACCACATTGAAGCAGGTTTGTATCAAATATATGGCTGTGTGGAAACCCTGGGCCTTCCCCATTAAAGCAATTTTTGTTCCCAGGCGTGAAGTTACATCTTTTCAAAGGTTAGCCTATGCTCATATGCGGATTAAAGAACAGCATCTAAAGAGAAAAATTCCACCCTCTTCTGTCCCACTTTTACAAGGGTGGATGAAAAGAATTTGTGCCACACCCCAGACCACCGAAGTGCACGGCCAAGCACGATGACCCAACCTTGCACAGGAAGGTTTAAGTACAGCTAAATATAATTGCCCCATTTAACAACTCCATCTCTGTATTTCTGTATAGCTCTAACTTGTGTTATTTCAACAGTAAAAAGCTCAAGCCTTGCTTCTACGGTTATGTTTTTAAAATTCCTCTTTTTTTCTTTTCCCCTTCATTACAATCACATATCCATTTGTGCACTGCTTTTCTTCAGTACAGTTAAAATCTATTTTCAGAAAATCTGTGTTGTTATAACTCTGTTATCCATTTGCATTTCCAATTTAACTATTATGAACATGGACTGCGAGCTGGGTCCTTCCACAGCTTGTAACTCTATTGATTATTCACTAATTCTACAAGTAACTTAGATTTAGATAATTTTCTTCTTGAAAGAGATCATGTTATAAAATGAAAACTTTCTGTTACATAATCTGCTTTAATTACAGTTCAACCTTTTTTACCAACAAAACTAAAAGCATGAAATAATTTATCAAAGATTTATAAAAGAATAAATATTCTATTGTGAAAACTTCAAATCCCAGCCTAACCAGAACATTTTAAAAATAGTAATTCCTCTCTGTGAAGAATTTACTGCAAAATCCAAATTATAGGAATATTGAAAGAAGGACTGGTTAAAGGCTATTGAAATTGAAATAATTTCATTTAGTTTAGAAATTAATTATAAAAAAAAATTTAAAATGATTTTGCAGGATTTTTCTTTTTAAAATTCTTTGATAGGAAATTCACTACACAACTTTCTTTAGAAGAATCTTACTAAACTTCATTGTGGAAAAAATACATGTTTTTTATTAGTAGTACTGGTATTATTACTTTTGTTTGGTTGCTTTGGCTTTGTTTGTTCTGGTTTTTTTTGTTAGTTTCCCCCCCTGCGCTTCTTATATCCCTCCTGTCGTAACCCCAGTTCTTACATATCCCAAACTTTCTCACTTTCTGGAGCCTTGTCCAATCAGGATGACAGCTACCTTGGAGCTTCTGAAATAAAACAAATGGGGAATTTCCCTTTATTTAAAATTAACTTTTTGCACAATATGAAGGTTCGGTAACAGAGCTGTTCAAACTCAGCTAAAACTGTTTCCTACTGCTGTCAGCTCAGCTCTCAGACCAACTACACTGTTTTGAAGACAAGCAGAGTAATTTTTTTTCCATTTCCCACATATATTTTTTTAGCCTGGTCTTTCAGCCACTTTCTGAACAGGACTAGTGAGCTTACCTCTCTTTCACATGCAGTCTGAACTAGCTCATACAAGCCTTTCATGCTGACAAA